TCCCCTTTCCCAATGCCTTTCTTGCTATAATTCTCTTTAACATATTTTTTCTTGACATTATGTAACTCTATCCATTTTTATTTTTCTCTTTGGGTCCTTAGTCTCTTTCTAGTTTTGTTTTCCTAGTTTTCTTTTTTATCTCTACCTGCTCCTCCATTCTTTCTTCCTTATTTTTCTCTGCTCTCCTTTTTCTTTATTTCTCTATTTACCACTTCTACTTCAGTTTCTCCCAAAATTGTAATAATACTCTGTGGCCGTAATTCTCCATGGTTTCAGACCTTACCCTCCTCTTATTTTTTAACCTAAAACTTTTTCCTTCAACTAGTATACAGCATATATACATTTGGATTACCAAATTTATCATCTTACCATACAGTATAGATTATATTAGAGATTAAAAAAGAATATATTCAACCCTTTGTAGTCTTAAATAACTCTGTAACATTAAAGATGTGTCTTTAAAGAAACAGTTACAGTTAGTTATATACCAGTTACACAAATTCCATAGATCATACTATAGTCCTTTTTGTTTTCAGCGCATATGTAGCATCTTACAAATCATTAAGAACTTAAAATAATTATGTCTTATTTTTTAATTCTAGTTTAATCCGAACTATTCGCATAACGCTAATTAACCTGAAGAAAGCCATTAAAGGATTGGTTGTTATGGATGCAGAATTGGAGGCTCTGTGTGGCAGTCTACTTATTGGAAAAGTTCCTGAGAATTGGGCTAAGCATTCGTATCCTAGTCTAAAACCATTAGGGAGCTATATTCTAGATTTTCTGGAAAGGCTGAAATTTTTACAGGTAATGTACAAGAGGCAGTGCTACTAATTATTTAATCTACTTTTTTCATATAACTTGCCCTTTATGTTAAAGGAATATTGGGAAACAAGTGATAGAGTTTGCCAGATTTTCTAAATCCAATTATGTAGAAAGTGATCAAAGAACATAGGATTTGTTTCTTTCTGATTATTGAATGTATCATTTTCCTCTTTCCAGGATTGGTATGAATTAGGGAAGCCCACAGTTTTTTGGCTGTCAGGATTCTATTTTACTCAAGCGTTTTTAACTGGAGCTATGCAAAACTATGCTAGGAAACACAGAATCCCTATTGACCTTCTGGGATATGAATTTCAGGTACAGATAAATTATTAAATTAAATTAAGTGTGTATTTTATTAATCTGGGTCCCGATGTTACAGTGAGATGCACTAAGTAAATCCTGACTGAAATGTTCATTTTCCAATTGTCATGCTGCAATTGAAGACATACATTTAATTCTGTGATAAGGTAGGCACATTTCTGTAAAAGAAATTTTGAAAGTAGTTCTCTCATTGGACCTGGGCCTCCACTCAGAGAAAAAAAACAGCCTACACAGTGCGTATTTGTCTGTGTGATTAAAGCCTTATTTTATAACCTACAGTAAGGTTAACCACAGAACAAACTAACAGAAAGGCTAACAAACCACAGAAAGCTTTTGTCCTTATGGTTTTGTATAAAAGCAGTACCCAAAAGAAGGTACTACATTATTCTGATTTTGGATCGATTTTCTGAACATTGGCAGTAGGTATAATACCTGAAAAAGCAAACACCTATGAAAGTTTATTAATACAGATCACTTATTTCTTGTAGGTTATTCCTCAGGACACTGCTGATACTGCACCAGCAGATGGTGTTTATATACACGGATTATTTTTAGATGGAGCTCGCTGGGACAGGACAAAGTCAGTAAAAATTATTTTAATACAGTTTTAGAAAGCTTTTTTAAGTGCTCAAACAAGATTTAAGTATTTCAAAAGTTATTTTTCATACTATTACAATAAAACACTTGAAAATATATTCATTCTTCTCATGGTCTCAATATGAGAAAATAAAACAGTGACTCTTAAATATTGTTGTGCTGGAAATGTTGGGATGTGCTAATCTCCATTAAAATACACTCCTTCAAAAAATCATCTGGCAGCATGAGTAGCAGAAAGATTTCAAGCAGATACTCCACTTTTTTTTTTTTTTTAATAACCAATAATTGGTATCTAGCCTGAGTCATTTTAAGACTAAGACTGTTGTGACTGTAGGACTTACTTTGCTTTTCTTACAAATTCTTCAAATAAACATTATATTGCTAGATAGAAGTATTTTATATGTAAAAATACTTTTTCATGCATGGAAAATGGAAAACAAACATCAAAAAAGAGCACTGAGATTTTATTTTTTCTGTCAGCCTTGGCTTGGTTTAATACCAAGCCACAAATAATGACTTTGTTGCTTTCTCTCACCAGGGGAATGTTAGCTGAGCAGTATCCCAAATTGCTCTTTGATATAATGCCAATCATCTGGATAAAGCCAAGTGAGTATAATTACCTTGAAGTATGTGCTATTTGACAAGATATTTGAACAATGAATTCCTTTGTTACAGAAGATCAATGACCGTACCCTCACCAAAGCACCCAAATGTGCACTTGACCTTTGACTTTTACATAAAAGATTGAATGAGTCAAATTGGCAGCCACAGTCTCATTTCATCCGAGCTGTAGGCCTGTTCCCCTCTCCACAGGTGTTTGTAATTATTAATTTGACAAATTGATTATTTAGATTAACCTGATCTGTTTCTCAACCAAAAGATAATTTTGGTAGGAAAAGCACATGGTGTTTGAATTCCTGGCTTACTCAAGTTGAGGAGAATTTTGAATTGACTTACAGAGATTTACTGTTTTACCTCATGTGATTTAGCAAGGTTTGCTCAGATTATTTTTATCTGCTCCTAGTTTTCTGTGATACTAGTGAAATATTTTCTATGACTCTTTTCTTTGATTAAGAACAGTAAATAGCTGATTTTCATTTATTCACTTAAGCAAGACTTTATATTGCAGTTGTTGCAACTTAGATATAGTTAGCTAATATGCAGTCACACCAAGTTTCTACTTTTTCTGTCTGTGCCTTCTTTTGGCATTGGGTGAATCTGTTCTCAGACTTGCATAATTTTAAACATTGTGCAAGTTGCATGTGAACAGTCTAGTTCTAAGAGGATTGTTGAATCTCCAGTGATTTGAATTACAGTTAGTCTCTGTGGATGCTGGACCATAATTCTTAGGGAGATTATAAAAGCTTGTGTCTAAATGTTAATCCTAACATGAAAGCAGAATGCAAAATGCTTTAATTATGTAACTATTCAGATTTGAATGTTTTTGAATTATTACAAATTTTGTAGAATTGCAGAGAAGCAAAAATTCCGTAAAAACAGATATTGTGTTGCTCACAAAGCAATATTGCTATTTTTATTTAGCTTTAAAAATGTTACTATAAGTACGTGATATTTAGATTAGTACTTAATGTGGAGGTTATATTCTTTTTTCTTTTTTTTTTAAAGCTGCAAAATCGGATATAAAGAAATCTAATGCATATGTCTGCCCTCTCTACAAGACAAGTGAGCGTAAAGGAGTCTTATCTACTACTGGACACTCCACTAACTTTGTCATTGCTCTGACGCTTAACACGGATAAACCAGTCCAACACTGGATCAAGCGAGGTGTTGCATTGCTCTGCCAACTGGATGACTAACTTTGACCAGTTCAGATACAAATGTCAAAAGACACCTTTCTTTTGTTTGCTTACAGCAGAAGAGCATGCTGTACAACAGAAACTTAGAGACTTTTTTTTTAATCTTAAAAGAGGGCATGTGTTTTCTAATCCTCAGCATTTTACCTTAAATAAGTATGTGTTATTATTAGCACCTTTACAATCTGTAAAAGGTATGGTTAGGCTTTTAGCCTTTGGAAACATTATTAATGTGTAAACGTACATTTTATGCATTACTAAAATATCACTAAATATATCTTAACCAAAAACAAAGTGTCTGCACTTTCTGTGAGAAATAGTACAATTAATAAACTTGAAACATTAGGAGTGCTGAATTGTGTGAGCGGAAACCCAATAGATAGTAAGTTTGGGGATTTCAGTCTTGTGTTATATATAGCCTATGTTCTGTTCTGCAACAATGAAGACTGCAGTATGAGAAATTTTTAAACTATCTGTAATAGGCACTACCAAGTCTCTTCCTTGCTCAGCAAATTCATCTTTTCAGGACTTAATTTGGATTTTTTTATTTTTTTTTACTTTTTCAAACAGTTTCTGTAAGTAGAAATGATCGAATCCTCCGTTATGACTGCCTGCCATAAAATGTTATTTCTGCTTCTTTGTTACTCCAGAGATGCAGTCCAGTTTCAATTCCTTCAATGATTCTATACTTTGGTTTTCTTAAAATAAATAAATAAAAGATAATTAGTAAAGCATTCTCCTCTGCTAAAGAACTATTTCCACCTTGCATGCAGACATAGCTATCATCATTTCTTTGTAAGGATCCCTCCACAAAATAGAGTGAGTAAATTAAATACAGTGAGTGAATTAAGCACAGAAAAGTCTCACTCCAGCCTACCGTCACTGTTATAATTAAACAACTTTGTTTTTCATTTCATTGCTTACTGTGTTTTACATGTAGAAGAGGTTTGGGATGTTTCTTTCTGAAAAACTCCTTTTCCATGTACAGACTCTATATTATCTTTTGTTTGCATTTCTATTTCTATTAATATTTATATGTAAATTGTGATTAGGCAATCAGAGGTGCATAGTAATTTTATTAGGGTCATCTCTTTATTTTATTTAATAGTTTATACTTACTTTTATTGCTTGTATTATTTTCTTTATGTGTCATCTTACCCATTTTTAAACAAGCTCCTGCCAGTATCTGTAGTGAACCCTTGTGAAGTACTAATGTTTTTTTTTCTCTCTGTAAGGTAATACTACTTGCAGTTCTCAGCTTCTCATTCCAAAAACTTAAACAAGAGTATTTTGTAAATAAACAGAACTTCAAATTTCTTCTTTTGCTGACACTATTTGTCAGGTCAGGTTATGAAATGTAACTAACCTGTATGAAAGAAACGTGGAGAAAGTCCCAGAGTATCTTATGATAGGTTATTTATAGTGAGCTATTAACGGACACAAACTCCACTGAGATCAGTTTCTATCCTGCAAATATTGCTTTCAACTTAATAATCACTTCTTCAAAGTGTGAAGTCTTCCACAAGGTGAGGAAAAACTGCATTTTCTCAATTCCTAGGAAAATTAGTACTTTTTAAAAAGGTGTTTATGTTCACATTGTACTACTGTAGGTGTAATCGAATGCTAATAGATACTTGTATGCATGTTTTCTTACTAAATTTCTCTTCCTTGATACATATTCAATTACAGAGCAAGGCCTTGCAATCACACGTTAGGTGGATCACATAAGAAATGAAATGATGCAGGTTTGCTGTGAATTACTGCTGTTCAACTTTAAGACGTTTCTGAAATTTTTCCAAGTGTTGTATTGACATTTCTTCATTTTGCTGTGCTTATTCATTTTCTCATTTATTTATTTACCTTCATTTTTATTTGCTCATTTTATTTTATTTTGCCCTGTATTTTTAGTGTTTTGTTTTGTTTTCAGGTCAACTCTCTTGAAAGACAGAAGTGCAAGTTTTGATGAGGTAAAATCGATGAAAGGTTAGAGTCTAAAAGAACATCTTTGATTTTAATCTATAGTAACATAGCCAAATATACAAACGAATAGTGCTGCAGGTTATGCATATAAAGAAGTGTACATCTACACACATAATATTTAATGACTGATTTGAATGTAAAGATTTTCTAATATTTTTTTATTTGAACATTTAGACTTATATAGTATAAATGGGATTTTTGTGCTACATTGTTTGTGTTATAATCTTAAGATTCCTAAAAATATTCTTAATTGAATCCTTCCAACTTGGTAAACATTTTCTTTTTCTTTTCTTTTAACTGTAGTGATGTTTTTAAGCTATTTATTTTTAACTCCATTATGATTACACCAGTGTTTTTTTGATTTTTGCATATATTTGAATTTATATTGTTACAATATTTTTCTATATATCCCTTACAACTGTTAGGCAAGTACAGGTATGCATTAACAAAGAATGCGCACTTGTAGGTTTCTCTCTGCCAAATAGCTGCAGTTTATGTACATAAGGTGGTAAGTTTGGTCTTTTTTTCAGCCATGGAGTATGATGTTGTTCCAGTTGAAAGATTGAAGTACACGATGTTAGCACAAATTTGCAATATTTTTTCTGACTACAAGATATGGCTCTAATGATATCTTTGTTGAAACACGTTGACCAAAAGGTATTACTAACAAATCTTGTGTCTTTCAGCTACTTTTCACTATCAGGCCCTCTGTGAACAAAACAAAAAACATCCCAAATTTTATTGCAGATCTGCTTTCCTACTAAGGAAGCATCAGAGCATGATTGTGGTATTTGAGTTTCTGAAAGATTTAAGAGGGAAGGAGTATTTAAACCATCTGAAAATTGTATTTTACTTATTTTATTCTTCCTAGTAGTAATGCCAGATGAAGTACCTGTTCTGTATGTTCAGTCTGTGGAATAGAGATAAAAGCTAGCACATGCTATTGGACTTAGAAGACCTTTATTCTGTTCTAGAGTAGAACAGCTCTCTTTGCAGTGTTCCAGACTAAATACCTGGGAGAAGACGGTAGCTTGAGAAGGAGGAGTTCTGATTCATTTATTTTAGGCAATGCTTTGTTTCTCGATTGTTTAAAAACAATTGCTGTTTCTATTACTCCAGACATAACCTGAAGACTTAACATCTGTGTCCAGTTAAAAAGCAGAGTTTTCCTACAAAAAGGTGATCCAAGTTGTGCTGATTGGCCATGTATAATGCTATATATATATCTGATGATAATTCTGATGATGAAATCCCTACCCAGCAAGCTATTCAGGAAAGCTTACAAGATATGCATAAAAATGAAACAAGTGCCAATGCAACAGAGGATGAAAGGTAATGAGTTATTACTTCTGTTTTCTGTGTTTTATTGGCATTGTTATGTACCTGGCCTTGTTTCATGGATACTAGAAACCACTTGTTCCGAGTTCTCCCTGGAAAAGTAAACGTGTTTCCTCAAAAATATGGAATGTATGAAGCTGTCAGGTGATGTTTCATCTAATATCTAGATGAGTACAAGGCTTCACTAAGGTAGATTAGGGTGTGATACAAAAAATAGGTTGGTGTGGTCTTTGGGTGCAAACCCAATATTTCTAGTGGCACAGGCAGACCAAGAAAAATGCATTTAAATGTGTTAAAGTCTAACAAAACCTACATAACTCAAAGAAATATAATGTGGTCTAGTCTTGAGTATGTTAAGTGAAGGTATAATTATATCCTGAACTTCTCATTAATTATAGCACTTTATTTTTATTGTGTTTATGCAGTTTCCAGTTTGTTGCCAGTAAAGAACGTGGAATGATAATTGCAGCAATTCGGACAGTTAAGTACAAATACACTGCACTAAGCCTATGCCCTAGGAATCACTTTGGTACTGCATTGTTGAGCAATGCCTACATTTTATGTGTTTGATCAGCTAATTTCAGTGCAGTTTTTCATGTAAACAACCCCTAGATTAAAAATTGCTTTCTAAAAATATTTTTTTTTTATTCTTGATACACAGGGATAAATAGCACTCAATATATTAGTTGCGTTAATTTTGTTTTATGATGAGTAATTAAATATGTGTCTGTCTCAAAATATCACAGGCCAAGAAGAGGTCCTGAAGAAGCTGGTGAACCATAGTTCTGCTTTTGAGGAGGCAGATCAGCAAGGCTGGCTTCCTGTGCATGAAGCTGCATCACAGCTAAATATGAACATCCTTGAAATAACATTCAAAGGTATGGAGTCCTCCTGGTTTTCCACTAAAAAGTATTACAAAGCCAGGTCTGTTGAAGGATTCAGCTTCAGACGTGTTCTGCTTTTCTGTATTTCAGCCTCCCGTGCCGCTACATGGGAACAGACCACACTAAAAGGGGAAACACCTCTCTTGGTGGCAGTAAGAAATTGCTTTGTAGAAAATGTCCGCTTTCTCCTGTTCAATGGCTGCAATCCCAATGTTAAGAATGAAGAGGGAGATTCTCCTTTAGTTGTAGGTGAATATCTTGTTTGGGGGGAAGAAATGAGGGAACTAAGTGAGATTATAGTTACATGTTTTAGGTTGCAATTTGCTTTCTTTGACTTGTGTAGCATATAAAATATTTTGCTGTAAGGAGCAAAAAATGTTAATCTCAGTACTTAATGTGTTTGATTGTTTTTCTTAGAAGATCTAAGGCTTTAAATGAGCTTACAGAGCCTACATTCCAAGTTAGGAACTGTCACTACAAGGTTCTTAGCATTATTTATTAATTATTGTCCTTATTGGTCTATTGGAATGTGGGAAGCACAGAGCTAGGAGAGGCTAGAAGTATTTCCCCAATGTCTGAGCTAGTGCAAGGAGCTCCAGGTGACCTATTTTCTATCTCTCAGTCTACCTATTTAGAAAAGATACAGAATATTCCTAGATACTTCAGAGTGCACTATAGTAAAGTGCATCATCCCCCAAGAAGGGGATGTACGAGATTTACCTAAAGCAGCCATGCAGGTTACAGATAATGGAATATCATGGGTTACAGTGTGCTGTCAATGCTATTTCAGGTAGCTATGGCATACTATTCAGTCCTGCACAGCCAGGAAGATCAGAGAGGAGAGGAAGGTGTTGCCTATTAATTCCATTTTCTGGAACCAATGCAAACCACTCTTAAAAGATCCTTGCTGTCTTGATAGCTGAGGCTTATTAAGATGAGAAGGTATAAGGCAGAGTCATTGTAAACTTTTTTTACATTATGGTAACTGCCTGTGAAATTTAACTATAGCAGGCTGGCTTCTGACTGCAGTAAGCCCACATATACGATCTCCATCTAGTGGCAGGAAACCTTGCATTCTATTACAAGAGCAAACAACAGATGAGTAGAGAGAGGAAAAGAGATTACTGTAAAATTATTCCATTGTGTAGTTTTTAATCCTGGAAATGAAGAAAAAACGTGGTGAAAAGTTAAACCTTTCAGTGTAGCTTGGCATTTCTTGCAGTATAAATAGTGACATTGCTTCTTGTATAAATAGCAGTGTGGGAACTGTTTGAGCATTCCTGGGCTGCCACCTAACAGAAGCCATGCCACACGGAACAGTGTGGGCTAATAGTCTGGCTAATGGCTTTTTTTTTTTTTTTTAATCTTACAGCAATTAAATACAATTCATATGAGATTGCCACCTTGTTGATAAATTCTGGCGCAAAAGTAAATTTGCAGTGTGTCCACAAGAGGACTGCTTTGCATGAAGCAGCCAGACTAGGCAGAAAGGATCTGGTGAAGCTTCTGCTTCGTTCTGGAGCAGATCCTGACCCTCGCAGTGGATATGGGCTCACACCTCTTGCACTGGCTGCACAAGCTGGACACACAGAAATCATGGAACTCTTATTGCAAAAAGGTGAGACTTGATTATACAGGATGTTATGGGAAATGAAGGCTCAGGGCAGAGGAATCTTGCCAGTGTCATAAATATCTGAGGGGAGGTTGTAAAAAAGACAAACCCAGCTTCTTCTCTGTGGTGCCCATTAAGGACAGGAGGCAATGGACAACTGAAACCTAGGAAATGCTTGGAAATCCTTAAAGCCAAGCATGGACCTGGACAGTCTGGTGTAGCTGACACTGCTTGAGCACAGGATTGGACTGGACAGTCTCCAGAGGTCTTTTCCAACCTCAGCTGATCAGTGGACCTGTTTTAAAATGCAGTAGATTCATGTAGTAACATAGGCTCACTTGTTCCAGTGAGTAGGAATTGTAAGCTACACATGTTACATGAAATGTTTAAAGTTCAAATGGAACAAAATGAATCCTCTTTCACTTATGGAAGTGAAAGGAAATAAAAGGATTGTTATGTTATTGATTATACAGTCTGTGATGATAACAGAAAAAATATACAATATATATTTTGAGAGATTACTTTTCTACAGCCAGCTATAGTCGTCAGTGAGTGCTTTGCAAAACTGATACATTGCAGGAGAGTTTTGTTTGCATTTTGGGGTGATTACTAAATTGTCTTACATTATTTGAAACTTTTAAATCCCAAATCACATGGATTGAGGTATGCCTGAAGAATTCTTAGTACCTAAATTTCATGTTATAAGATGTCTATATATATAACCTCTAAAATAGTTATCCTAGTTACACACATTTTATTGGTCTTTGCAAAGCTCTGTGATTGGATTATAACCAGTCATTGTAAGACATGCCTTTAGAGTTAACAGCAAAAGTAACTTTCATTACTAAAGCAAATAAAATGCTATCTGTGCCCCAAGGATTGTTGTGATTTAGTTAACGTCTAACAGAGACTACATTTTTTGTAATATTCAAGCCATCCATTAGTGTTTTAGTGAGTAGTTGTAATTTTTATTTAATATGCAATATTGTTTTCTCAGGTAGACAGCTAACCTGAGGGAAAGCCTGACTGACTTTTGTGGTGGGAATTTATATGTGATGCTCAGCAGCACTGGACTAGATTGTATGTCCTGTTTTGATACTGGATTCTCTTACATTTCCTGTTATATCTGTTAGGTCTTTATAAAGGAGAGCAGAAATTCGTTGTGTGTAAGCCAAAAAACAATTATTTTTATGAATAAGAACTAAGCCTCTTGCTTGCCTAATGCTCTCCTATCAAATCTTATTGTGTTATAGAGTTCAAAGTAATTTGGACCTTCCTGTTTCCAGATTACATAATCACTTTTAAAATCAAGGATTCAACATAGAAACTTAGGGCATAATGGTTTTATGTGGTGAAGAATAGAATTCACAATATCTTGTCACTGGAGGAGAAGGGTTGGAGATACTAATTATTGCTGAAAATTTACAGTGAATACTGTGAAAATCCTCGATGCTTCTTTTCAGGTGCTGATGTTCTTTCACAGGCAATGGACTGTTCTTCTGTATTATTTGAAGCAGCAGGAGGAGGAAATCCCGATTCCCTGAGCCTTTTGCTAGAATACGGGGCTGATGCCAATGTACCAAAGCACTCAGGTCATTTGCCAATCCACAGAGCCGCATATAGAGGACACTTTCTGTAAGTTAATATACTTAAAAGACAACTAAAAATGACATCAAAAATATCAGTTTTGGTAATTCTGCCATATTCAAAGCAGGTGGTGAATCTGTAGTTTTGTAGAAAAAAATTCTAGCCATATTACTCTCAACATTCACAGAAAGCTTTTATTTGAGATGGAACAACTATTCTTCTAGCAAGGACTGGAGCTGTCCATGAGTAATAGTATACAATTTTGTGAGAAGCTGGTGTAAAGTCATAGTATCCATTGCTGGCTAACTATTAAATTCTTAGCAATTAAAGTTAATGCAGAGGTACAGCATGCCATGGTACTGATTTTTTAATTAAGACATTGAATACAGTCGGGATAAATTTTGAAGCCCAGGAACGCAAAGATTGAGGTAGGTGAACCAGTGCGCTTCAGATTCCAAGATTCTCTCTCTTTTTATTATCTTCTTCAGTGCCTTAAAGAATTTAGTTCCAGTTACTAATTTTGATGCCATTAAAGAAAGTGGAATAAGTCCGATTCACTCAGCAGCAGCAGGAGCTCATCCTCAGTGCCTCGAGTTTCTTCTCAAATCTGGGTTTGATGCCAATTTTATGTTGGATCAAAGAATCCGCAAAGGCTACGATGACCGCCGGAAATCAGCGTTATACTTTGCTGTTTCAAATGGGGATATCTGTTCAGCACAGCTGCTGCTGAATGCTGGAGCCTTGCCAAACCAAGATCCCATCAACTGTCTGCAAATAGCCTTGAGAATGGGCAACTATGAGTTGATGAACCTACTGCTTCGACATGGGGCTAATGTCAATTACTTCTGCAGAGTGAATACAACACATTTCCCATCAGCTCTACAGTATGCTCTGAAAGATGAAGTCATGTTGAGAATGCTGATGAACTATGGCTATGATGTGCACCGCTGCTTTGATTGCCCTCGAGGAAACACTTCCCATTCACAGTACGTGACTGATGGATGGACTTCTACTGTTATCAAAGATACAATGGTAAGTGTATAAGGTGGCTTCATACGTTGGTGTTTTACTGCCAGTATCCTTCATACAACTATGTGAAAATGTACTTATGAATGTGATCTGTCGGAAAAGCAAATGTTGGAACAGTAAGGCAGTTTACACATAAAGGTTTTAAAATTAGATAGTTTGCTGTCATGGATGTTGCCTCATGGCAACATCTATCATAAACAATGTTATAGAACTGTGAAAACACAGCTAATTATATGATGTTGATAAGTACAGAATTTGTTCTCCAAGGCACTCTTGTCCATGCTGTGAAAGCAGGGACTTGTAGGCTGGCTCTCTGGGTTGTCTTGTATCACATAGGTGATGGTAGATATCACGTAGGGCATAGTAAAAGCCTGTTGTAGGAACCCCCTTAATCTGGCATGATAAACACTGAGCAAAAATTAACAAACCTGGATTGACCTAAACAGGTTCCTAGAGACACCCATCAGAGTTACTGTATTTTTTTTGTAAAGTCAATTTGAATGTAAAAAATCTTTATTTAACCTGAAGGTCATAAAATCATAGAATACCCCGAGCTGAAAGGGTCCCACAAGGGTCATCGAGTCCAGCTCCTGGGTCCCTAAAGCACTACCAAAAAATCAGGCCATGTGTCTGAGAGCATTGTCACTTCCTGAGCTCCGACAGGCTTGGGGCCATGCCCTGGGGAGCTTGTTCCAGTGCCCAACCACCCTTTTCCTGATACCCAGCCTGAATCCATCCCCTGTTGCACCTTAGACTCTTTCCTCGGGTCCTATCTCTGGTCACCAGAAAGAAGAGATCAGCACCTGCCCCTCTGCTCCCAAGATAAAGGGGTGCATCATGCACCAAGCTGGCAGGTTCCCTCTTCAGCATGTTGGGACACAGGTCTCCTCCAGCACCAGCGCTGTCCATAAGTTTAAATTCCCAACTGAGGGTTTGGCGTTTCTCTTAGGGAATGGTAGCACTTCTGTTTAATCACTTAGTTACCAAATATGCAGCCGTTTAAGTTCCTTTTTGGATCTAGTACAGAGTAAGTCTCTCAGATTTTCAGACTGTACTAGTGAGGCTTAACACAAGCTGTGACAACCTCTAAAGCTCCTCTAACAGACTGAACACTTGCTCTTCCTAGCATTCTGCTTACATTAAATAATTGTTCTTCTCCTGCAGGGGGGGAAGTAATTTACAGGAGTATTGAATATTTTCTTATTAAATGTTTTTTTCCCCTCAGTTCTGTGAAGTGATAACCTTGTCATGGCTGAAGCATCTTAGTGGGAAAGTGGTGAGAATAATGTTAGATTATGTCGATCATGTTAACATCTGCTGGAAGCTAGAAGCAGTTCTCAAAGAACAGGAACTATGGGCAGACATCAAATCAATTTTAAGTAAGTATCTGATATTTAGATGTGAAATGGCACACAAGTTGTTCTGGGATTGGGACCTTTGGTGTTGGCGTTATTTTTATTTATTCTTGATCCTTGTTGGGCCAAAAGTTATGTTTTGACAATAAGGTATCTCTGCAACAGAACTCAGTCTGTGTAGCATTTAAATTAAGTCTCTTTCAGAAGTCTGACAGACTGCACAGTTCATGCAGAGTACTGGGCAACTTCAATTACAAGGTAGACAACACAATCCTCTTTAAGGGGAGAAAAGCTCTTCCCCCCTTTTAAGGTGATGGAATAACTAATAAATTACTGTCTTTAACTGAGTGATTGGAATTCCAGTCTAGACCAACTCTGTCTTTTTCATTTGTACACAGATTAAAAAGGAGTAAGTCAAAATTCTACTTTTAGTAGCTTCTTCAGGTTGGCAGAGAACATTGAGCAACTATTTGGGGTTAAAGTAAGTTTGCTTGACTTAGACTACTTGTACTCCATTACCATACGTTTAGCTAACTTGACAGAAATACAGTCTGTTGCTTTAGCTGACAATGCTTGTAAATATAACTGAGAGAGGCATGGGCTGAGGTAAAAATGCTAGATCCTGACAGGTCCGGTCATCATCACATTGATTTTATCCATCAATTCACAGAAAGAACATATGGAAAAATCTGGAGCAAAGTTTTTGAAAGGTGTAAGAAAATAATTGCACAGAAATGAATAAATAACTTATCAATCTCACCTTCTTATTTCTAGCAAACCCTCGCTCTCTAAAGCACCTTTGTCGTCTGAAGATACGGGAATGCATGGGTCGGTTGCGTCTCCGTTGTCCTGTCTTCATGACCTTCCTTCCACTGCCAAACTGCCTGAAAGACTACATACTATACAAGGAGTATGATCTTTATGGACAGAAAAACTTCCTAGGATCCTCCAACCTCAACTGCACTTAATTATTAGCTCTATAATTTGGAGGGAATGTTGAAGTGGGTAAGACTACCTTATGCATCTCTTTTTTCTTTGTGGATTTTTATCTCATATGTATATTAAGGAATATGAAGTTTCAGCATTCCCTCCCTTACCCTTGATGAAAATGGGGACAACCTCAAACTGTAAGTATTGGTGATCCCATTCTGTATGAATACAGTGAAGTACAAAATATCTGAAAGTTATGGCTATCCTGCTTTAAATGCTTAGTGTGAAAATTTAAACAACTCTTAAAATCACAGGTATGGCTGTAAACCTTTCATTATTGCTAGGCTAAAGGCTGTCATAACATGTAATGCTACCTCCAACTGCAAGGTTAAACTCAGGGTTTGGTTGAAGGCCATGAAGTTAACTAAAACCAGGAAGGGACATAATTGTTTTTAAATCTTGTACCTTACTTTCTCTTGCCATGAAGTAGAGGTTTTATTTATGAAGACCTACAGCAAAGTTCTAGAAAGCAGCATAACTAGATTCCGTTTTTTTCACCCAGTGACATGATCCCACTTCCTAAGCATTAAGCTGGGATTAACAGCTACAGATGCCTGCTTATTACAGTAGCTAGTGTGAAACACCAGTGTTTCAACAAGGCAACAGTACTTCTGAAACAGGTTAGTTCTGCATCTCAGTCTCAGGTATTGACATGTCTCATCCACTATGTATGAGACATAGCTCTCATACAGAACTAGCTTCCTTTCACAGTGCTGCCCCAAGACATGCTTGCATTTTTTTTGGAGTTGCTCTTGAAATGGTTGCAGCTTAATCTTAGGAAGCATTTACCTGAGAGCAACCACCACTGTTGTCTAAGTCTTACATGATGCACACAGACCCACTCCACACTTATTCTTTCTAAAAATAGTACCGATGCCAGTCTATGTATTAAAAAAAAAAAAAAAATCAACACGTGGTATTAATAGTATTTATTTATTCCTTCATTATCAGGTAAGCATAGATTTTCTCATTATACACGCATCTGTATTCACATAAAGTTACATAATTCAAAAGTCTGATTTTCTCCAGAAAAATCTACAGATCTTATAAAATACAAATTTAACCATAATGTAGTTACGACCCCTTGCTTTTCGCATGGTGTCTGTCATGTAATTAAGAAAACTAATGAGGCCAGTGAAAATATGTAAGTACCCATGTTAATAGTTATGCTGGTATAGCTTCTGTACACATGAATTCTGATCATTACCATAATGACAGCTCTGTACAGAGTGCTACACATTGTCAGGTAACTAGAGCAACGTGTGCACTAAAACAGCCAGCCAAGAGAGTAAGGATTTTCTTCTAACGTTCAGTCTTTGTTGCAGAAGTTATCAGTGTTCCCAAGTACAGCAACTTCCTCTGAGTATAGCTGGCTAATATGATTAAACTTAAGGGAATTGAGATATGATTTGACACCAGAGAGATTCAACTGCACATTAAAACTTCATTTAGTGGGAAAGAATGCATCCTGTCACCAATAATGGTGCTTCCTCATAGTCAGTATTATGAAAGAAGCAAGCTGCTTTCGCAGCAGTATAAATTGCCCCCTGGAAGTTACTATACTTAAGAATTTATTTATTTAATCTACAAAATGCCGAGTGAAGCTCTGGCATAATACGTAATTTACTATTCATGTTTCCAAGATTAAAACAGAACAATCAAAGCTGAATTAAGCATACTAGTGGAGGTTTTAATACAGCTATTCAGGGAAAAAACGTCTAAGTCTCAAACACTGCAAAAATCACTTACACTTCAGTAGAACAGGACCAATCCAGAACATCATCGTAAGAATTTGACCACTCCACTGTATTATAAAAATGACCTGAAAGATTGTACAAAATCTTTGGCATGCAATATAGACTTCATTAGGGATACAAATGCATTCACAATGACATGACAACTTATTCTTGTCATAATAACTTAGATACCACTGTGGGAGGACAAAAAAAGAACAAACCTAGTGCCTGGGTGAAAAAAAAAGCCTTGGAGACTGACTGACTTGCAAGAAATTTTATAAAATAGAGCAAAGGAAAGAATATAAAATACCATCTCTTGCTGTTAGACTAGATGTTATCTCAACTAAACTCAGAAAGCAGAGGCAGATTTTCGTTCTCTTTGTGAATTCTGAAATAATAAGAGACTAACAAAACTTCCTCCAGTGGCTTCTCCTACATTCTGTGCAACTGTAATTTAGAATTTACCTTAAACATATGCATAGAATTTACCTTAAACATATGCATAGTCAGTTTTGTTTCTTTATATCAGTGTACATCAATTACATCTTTATAAATGGTTTAGCAGTATTAATTTTTTAGCTGTGGGTTCACATCCATATAGAGATGAAATTTGACTGGATTATAGAAGGGAAATATTTCTGAACTCCTAAACATTACTGACTGTTAGATAGTAAGTTGTCTTGATATAGTTTAAAAGCTAAAAAGAATAAGGAAATAATAGACTATCAAAACCACCTTAGCTAATACAACACACTTCTTACCAGTTCTGTGTGGCTAAGTTGCATATGACCATTAATTTATCCTCTAGTTTAGACTTCAAGAAATATATTCCTGGCCATAGAGGGAGTGCTAGGTATTATCTGTAATGCAATAAAATCCATTTCCATAGTTTGCCCATGTTTCTTATGTGTTTTGATATTCACGACATTACATAAAGGATGTATGCAGCTTGAAACAACTGACAGGAAGACTTGCATGGTCTACATAGTGTAATAAACTTAATATCCCTTACCCAAGGGAAAAAAAAAAGTCAGTAATCATTAGGCTGGAATTAGCAACATAACTTAGTCCTAAAAAAACACTGCTGACCTATGCAACATCCTTTTAAAATTGTGTACTTGAAAAAATAGTTTCTGAAATAATATCAAGTTCACATGAAGCAAACTACAGCTTCAGCTGAAAGTGCCTGGAAGTTCAGTCCATAATTAAAAAGTAACAGAAAGTATTAATCAGGAGAAATAAATTATGGGAATGGAAACCAATTGGTAATTTACTTGCAATAATAGGTGGTGAAATTCTACCCCTGTAGCTTCAAGGAGAACTTGAGGTGTTTATGTTAAAAAATGTACTCTCAAAGTCAATATTAAGCATTTTGTTTTTTAATTAACAAAAATATTTTTCAATGAATTAGTTCTGTTCTACTTTAATGTCCTGATCTTTCTTGACTTGCCATTTGCTCCTGCAGCTTGCATCAGTCTCCTGGATGCATTTTTATCTTTTTACTCATTTTATACCAGCAAAAGTCTACTGAACAAGTAAAAAAATTCTGAATTCATTCATGTTATCTCATTGTTTTTGTTAAGCTCTACTCTCCTCATTAATTTCTCTTCTTTTCAGTGGTTATGGGAGAAGACTCATCCACTGCAAGTGAAATGCAATTCACTCATACACTGTTTTAGAAAACTAGATTTAATGGCAATAGATGGGAAAGCCTGAGCTAAAAACGAAGTAATTCCAATCATAAATAGTAAAATCTGAAAAATTCCTTAACAGTTATGTCCCATCTTTTTCTCCTAATTTCCTCCTCATAGTTACATGCTTAAGTCTAAGACATTAATGGTAGGGGTCTAGAAAAAATACATCAATTCTCTGTCAGCCGTACTTTCTAGTGAGATTGCTAATCTATTATCCATCTTCCCCGTGGAGCGGTGGCTATTGCAACTAATCTTACTCTGACAGCTTGGTGACTAGATTCTAGAAACTGGATACCACTAATCACATTCTTCCTGAGCTGTTTCACACTTAATTCGTCTTCAGCATGTACTGAAGGAAGACACAATAACCTTGAGCTGTGTTGCCATGTTATGTGATTGACAGAAAGCAGAAATAGTGCAAAAAACAAAGACCGTAAGAGAAAGAAACACAAACTAGATCAGTTTCCAGAGAGAAACTGGCTGCCATGCAACTATCGGTAAGCCTGTACTTAGGCACAAAAAAAAAAAAAAAAAAAAAAAGAGAGAGAGAGAGGAAAGAAAAGATGCATTTGTTGCCTTTCTGTACTTTTTTTTTTTTTTTTCAAAAGAATAAAAACAGTCTCTTACTTTTTGCAGATGAAAATACAATATCAATTTGTATTATTATCAATTAATATTTATTTTGGGATTTTTTTCCTTCTCTCTACATTTCCTGCCTGCCTGCCTGCCCTGAAGATTTTGCTTGACCAGGCAGATCTTCGCTAGCTGGAGATATTATGTCAAATTGTATAGGAGTGTCAGGGTCAACAAGTGAATGCAAGGAAAGTGCAGGTAAAGTTGCTGATTCAAGCCTTGTCCCCTGAAATGAGGTTTTGGGCACTAAAAATGAGGGTTTATACTTTCAAATAAGGTTTGAACTCTGAAAAGGAGGATTTGCACCTTAAGATAAGGCTGTGGAACCTAAAAATAAGGCTTTGGGCCCCCAAAATGAGACCGTGGGCCCCAGAATATGGGGGTTTAGGTGATAAAAAGAAGGCTTTGTATCCCAAATGGATGTTCTGGTCCCTGAAAATGAGGGTTTGGACTGTCAAAAAGGGGGCTGGACAATTGAAGTAAAGCTTTAGTACCTAAAAATCGGGTGTTGGAGCTCTAAGAATTATTCTTAGATAATTCTAAGATTATTCTTAGATAATTCTATTTCATGTTCAAAAATAGAGGTTTTCAGCACTAAAAATGAGGTTTCAGACGCTAAAAAGGTGTGTTTGGATTTTATAAGGAGGCTTTGGCATTGGAACCTAAAATGATGCTTTGAGACCTAAAAATGGGTGTTTGGACTCTAAAATGAGTCTTTTCACACTAAAATTCAGGCCTTGACCTGTAGAATGAGGCTTAGGTCAGTAGAAAGGAGGGTTTAAGGCTTTTGGTCCTAAACATGAGTCCCTCATTGAGATCCTCCAACTGGGGGCTTTGGAACCTAAAATGAGGCTTTTAACTCTAAAAATAAGGCTCAGTGTCGTTTCTGTTACATCCAGCAACTGGGAGCTGGCCCAAGCAGTCACAAGGTGGCGACTGCGGTCCGCGTCTTCATCCTCTGCCTTACCACCACATCCCACAAACTCAGCCTTTCCTCTCGTAATTTCCTCCCCTTCTGGGATAGCAGGCGTGGATATTTACCATGGAAGGCATCAGACCGAGACTAGGTCTTGAGTTTCAGACCATAAAGATCTCACGTTACCCTATTGCGTTGTCCTCCCGCAGTGAGCTTCTGTCTGAAGGGGGCTGGCTGTCCACGAGGCTGTTAATCCCACAAATGCTGTAACGAAGACGTGTCCCATAGTGTCTGTAGTGCGACGGAGGTGGAACAGCTGACCATATAATCCATCAAGGCCACTCAAAACCTATCATTGGAGAAACTTAGGAATACAACGTTCATAGAAATCAAGAAAATCCTTCTGCTTTTCTTGAAGCTAAAGAGCCTTTCTCCCCCACTATTATATCACAAATATATATGTTGTTATATATTATATATATATATATATATATAACTGGAAGCATTTTCTAGGGAAATGTGCTTGGCTGATTAGCAGTAACACCAACAGGAGCCCATAGTAAGCAAAGTCCTCCTGTGGGCACTGAGACATGCAGGTGCTGTATGAACAGGTAAATGGAAGCAATGCCATTTTCAGATCATTGCCTCCGATAAGTAGGCCCAAACACCTTTTAAGGCCTCTTTTTCTTGGGTGGCTATCTAAGATGTTCTAAGAAACTAAAGCATGACATTACAAAGGAAAGTGGGCATGAGATTTTCTTCCTGGGATGACTTCCCATGTGGCATGTGTTAAAAATCAAGCATGGTCTTTGTTGCAGTATACAGTGGCTCAGAGAAGCACTGAAGCCTACTCCTACATACCCAATCTCTGACTCTTCTGCAGCCCCTCCACCTCTGACATGTACCTGAGACAAGGCTCTGGTGGTTCACAGTCCACATGTGGTAGACAGAATCAGGACAGAGCTGCAGCTGCTCCTGAAAGGAACAGCTTTTGGGCTTGAAAATGAGGAAGCCAGGGGTGTAAATACAAGGGATAGAAACAAGTTCCAGACCCTTTCCAATTCTACTTTCCTTTCTCACCATTATATGGCAATTCCCTGGGGGTGGTTTGTATGACCATGAATCGGGATGAGAAGCCCCAGGACCTGCTACCTCTATCACAGTGACCAACAGCCCTGTGCTGGCAGCACAGTTTACGGGTGGTTGTATCCAAGGCAGCAGGCAACCACGTTGGGTTGAAATTACAGCTAACCTTTGACTTCAATCCCAGTTCAGAAAGCACTGAACTTCTTGCTAGAGTGGGTCTAAGTTTGGCAACTAAACTGAATGTTTACCTTCAGTATTGCAAACCCCTCTTTTCACGTGTCCTACTAATACTTAAAATACTGAACATGCCAGTCTCTGTTCATACTTTTGCATCATTAAGAATATGCCAACTGGGGGATAGTGCTAGGCTTTAAACAGCCATGGTGAAACCATTTTTTTATGCAAAAGCTGAGGTTCTGAATGAGATCAGTGATGGGGAGAAATATTTGCAGCGTAAAGAGGAGACACAAAGAGAAGTGGAGTTGGTCAAGGCAATGCCTTCTATCTAAGGTGGAACCAGCAACTGCTCCCAGGCCTCCCAGTCACTAGCAGCACTCTCAGAGCAAGGTCATCCTGTCTTCCACGGCTGTTTGGTGCCCCATCCCAATACACCTTGAAGATGGACACAGGGGCTCAAGCAACCAACCCTGCAATGCTTCGGAGGGTGTCAACCCAAGCAGCTGGGATGGGACAGATGCACTGTTATTGCCACTTTCCATGCAGAGACCATAGCAGAGATTTAAGCAGCCTAATCAGGCAGCTACAAGGAACCAAAAATCACAGGTAAAGATCAACGTAGTTGAGACTTGCTGTGCATACTTCCCTCATTGCTGTTGGGAAAGGAGGCAGCTCCAGACAGCTTTGACACCCCAGAAGAGATTCGGCCTACCAAGGTGGGAAGCTCAGCTGATGGCAGTGATGGTCCCATTGCTTCCATGGGTAGATATTGCTTGAGATTTTCTCTCCTTCTAATGAATTCATCCTCACATCTGCGCCAAACCCATTTGTTCATAGCCCATAGTCGTGTTTTTTTGTTTGTTTGTTTTTTTCCCTCCCACCTGCCTTTCTGATTACCTTCCTTCCTTAGGGAATTAAGAAAAATGACAGTGGGACAAAACCTTTACCTCAAGTAAATCTCTCACTGTCCCACTTGCAAATTTGCTCAAGCAAACTGGGAGAGATTTGGCCTGTGAAGGTTAAGTGGGGGAAGGAGAGGGGAGAAGGCTCTGTCTGTATCAGAACTGATCTTTGCTGCTGGGTTACAACTAGACAATGAAGCAAAAGCCAGCAGAGTTTGAAGAGGAAGCTCAGCCAAAGGTCACTAGGCTGTCCTTAGAAACTCGTTATCAGAACCTTGAAAACAGGGAGGAAGGTCATATGAGCTGACTGTAGCAATAACCAGAAAAGGTTGACTGAGTTGGGGGAGCTTATCATGCTCATTCATCTAGTTCAAATGACGAGGAAAGGGTGACAAGGGGACAGAGACTTCCTGACACAGGGATACAGCTTACCCTGGAATGCCAGCAGGATACACTGTCACTTTTTGTGTGAAGGTCTCGGTGCTTTCGGCCAGTTATTCAAGAGATATAGAGGGAAGGGAGTTCAGACATGCCTTTTGCCAGAACTGGCCTAAAGGAGCAGAAAGATTCAGAAGGGAGAAATCCTGGCAAGCTGAATCTGGGCAGAATCTCATTAGCATCTTTCTGGTCACCTGTGAAGTTGTCCCTGACCACTTGCACTGTTTCTAGCATCTTAAGGCAAAGTAAGACCTTCAAATCTGTTGTATGAATGTAAATCAAAACCACCTTAAAAATATTTCCTAATATAGGTGACCCCAGATGTGGAGCTGCTCCTTCTGGATACATACACCTCTTTTGTCCATGGGTTTCCCCCTTCTGTGGCATGAATAAGACCTTTCTTCTCCACATTACAGGCTAGCCCCAAACACTGGCTCCAGAGGCGTTTGTTTTATTTAAATTTAGGTGCTTGCTAAGCAAATGGAGTCTCTCCGCTGATGTCACTGACCAAGTACACGCAGCTGCTTTCAGTCGCTGAACTTTGTTGTTTCCTACAGGGGTGAACAGAGTTCAGACTTGGCTGAACTCCCGAATGCATGAACCCAGACAGCACGGAGTTCAGCACCAGGCAAAGGTGTGCTGAGTGCACAGGAATGTAGTGGAGACCTCTGGGGCAAAGAGTTCCCTGCTCACAGGGCCATCACTGAAGAGACCCTGTTGGTGGGACAGGACTGGCCAGAGTGGGTAATGCTGCACCATCCAGCACCACCTGAGTCCTCAGCATGCAGATTAACAGAGGGTAGGAGGATGTCGAGCTTTCTGCAGGAGCTCCTGTTGGGAGCACTGAGTTTGATCAGGTGAGCACAGATGAGCACAAGCCTGCTCCTTGCTGTAAACCTTTATGCACCAGTGGTCTTGCACCTCCAGAGGACCTAGGGATGCTGTTTGCTCTCCTTTCTGCCCACCATAGAGGGAAAGAACAGTTCAGCACAACCAGGGGAGACTACAGAACAAAACCAAGCATCTGTTGCGTTTGCTGCCTTTGCATACTGAAATGAAAGATTCAACAGAACATCTATTAGCAGGAGGTCATGGCAGCCTTGTCTCAAATGAGCATTAACTCCGTAGCAACCTCCTAACCATCTCCCCTGCAGCTTCTTTCCCCTCTCTTAGCGGTACCATAACAACACGTGCTTGTGCTGGGATGTGTTGCTATCACCACTAAAGGGAAAGCAGGAACATTAAGGTCACAGCACTATAAGAACAGTGTTTTCCCTTCCTTTGACGTTTGTGTTGTATCTTTACAGTAGATCCCCTTCCCTGACAACCAAGCTACAGCAATTTGAAAGGTGGCACAAGCAACAGAAAGAATTATTTTCATATAGTTGTTGGCCAGCTTGTGATCCACTGGAGAAATATCTCAAAAGCCTTGGCTGCATTTTTATTTTTTAAATCAAGCAAAATTCTCCCACCTCTAAACACTGCAGGACTGCACTGTAATTTCTAGTCTCCCCATCACTGATTATATTTGTGCTGCTGGAGAAGCCTAAGAGCTAGTGGAAGATCAACATCTCCCCCCACTCTGAGCTGCAGATCAGTCCTTTAGAGGAGCCCAGCATACCAGGATGAAGCTCCGACCTTTCGGAGCGCTCCCACCTTTCAGAGCACTTTCTCCTGAGGACTGGCTGTGTTGTGACCTTCCCGCTTTGACTTTTCCAGCCTCAGAGGAGTTTAACCAGGAGGAATATGTTTGGCCTTATATTAGACAAGAAGGGGAAGGGGGTGCATGAGGAAGCTTGCCCCAAAATACCCTCCCTGGGTTCGAAGAGCTGGCAGCAGCTCTTGCTGAGCCAGCTGTATGTCTTTGACACAGGCTATATTGACCCAATGCTCTGGGCACTGGCACAACGCTGATAAAATTCTTTCAGGCCAGAACCTAAAGACCTGCGAACAAGGACTCCCCGTATGCCCCAAGATCTGGAGCTGAAAAAGCTCCCCTGTAACAAACTAGCTTTGCAAAAGGGTTGCAAACCCTTCTAATGAGCAAGGAGAGAAGTTTCCCATGCTGAAACACATCACAGCAAGCATTTGTGTATCATGAACCCTCTTCATGTCAGCAGGAGTGATGCAGAGAAGCAGCCTGTCCTAAGCACCAGCTGAGCTCGGAAACAGTGCTAAAAACAGACTTGCCACTATCATGCCAGAAAATTAAGAGCTTGGCAACAGAGGGAGATTCACCGGCAGCAGCACAAACATTTCCCATACAGAACGCTTTATTTCTACACCTGGGTCCTTCAAAACCCACTGGACTGCACTGCAATAGAGCTTTAATAGTATGAGTACTGGGAAATGAGAGGAGCAGAGAGTTTCAATTAATTTCAATCTCCAATGCGCAACAGTGATTCAACCAACAAGCCCATTCCTTACGTGTTCAAACCCTTGAAAAGGGTCTATATTGAACTTTTGGCTTTCACTGCACATCCAGAAACTCCTCAGCAATTTAAGTTTGCTGCAAGGCTGAAGTTCCCCGAGTGTTTACACAAGCCAAGGAACAGCAAGCAATGTGCAGTACCTGCCAGCAGGACAAAGCCTTCGGGGTGGAGCACCGGGACCCAGAGATTGCAGCCACCTCTCCTAACTCTGCCTTCAGGAACTGACTCATTCCTTTTTCTCCTGGGAAAGCACAGATGGGAAAGCAGGAGCTGATTGTCACAGGAAGATGGAGAAGTCAAAGAGCAGTGCTGTCACTGTCTTCGGTTTGAGACGTGCTCCTGCTAAGGTGCAGGAGAAGTCACCGTCCCCTGCAGCACCTCAGAGCAATTTCCTTTCCACTACAAGCCAAGCAGCCCTGTATCTCTTGGTCAGGTTCCCTCCCTCTTGGAGAGCAGACACATTCCTTTGCCACTGCCTCTCAGCTCAATGTCAGGTCTGCAATGTGCCTGGCAGATAAAGCAAGCCCTATCAAGACCAAGTGCGTTCTTCTCTATCACTGTACCTTGATCCATTGTACCAGATCTTTTTTTTTTTTTTTTCTTTTTATCAGCTCCTGGAGCTGTGGGAAGCAGCTGTAACTCATGGTCTGTGGGAGGAAAGGGCAGCACATCAAGCATCTCAAAAATAGAGAGAGCAGAAAGATTAGACAGGCTAGACTCAAACTAAGTGAGGCAGACAAAGCCCATAACCCCTGCCAGGAGGGTGAGCAATGCAAACAGTGGATGCCTATATCTAAAGAAGAGATTTTTTTTTTCCAGTCACAGCAGAGGAATGTGTTTTAAGTAGCTGCCTCTTGGCCTTTTGTTTTGTTTACTCCTCCAAAGACAAACACCAGTGTGACGCCACATCCAGCTTTACTGAAGTGCAGAAGGAAGTAGCTGGGAAGGAAGGGCAGATCACAATGACAAAATCCAGGCCAGCCTAAAAGGCAGACAAGCACAAACACTCTTGCTTAGCCTGCTAAATAAGTAGATATTTATCTACACAGCCTGCTACCACAGCCTGTGGATTTTTTCCAAATGGAAAATATGTGCTGGGCTTTGGGATGCTCCAAGCAGCCCAGAGAACACAGGGAGTTCAACTCAACTGCTCCTCAGGTTTGCTTGGTTTCTTTAATGAGCACCCCAGCACAGAAGGGCCAGACCTCAGCTAACATGAGCAGGCTTCACAGCCTCCAACACAACTGCATTCCTATTTACACCAGATCAAGAGCTATGTGGCTGCTGCCTGTTTTTCAAGCTCAAAGTAACTTTGAACCTGCGCAAGTACAAGCAGAAGAGCAAAATGAGGCAGTGACCCACAGAAACCTGTCCCATATGAGGTATTTCCGTGGTTCTCCATGGAATGGTACTGCCTGCCCTGGGTACTGGTTCATTCACAGAAGTCTGTACCTATGCCAAGTGTGCACAGTTTCTGAAAACTATTATAAATAATCATAGATAAGGTGCCAGCGAATTGTTTCCAATTCCTGCTGTTTTTATTACACACCCTTCTGTATTTTGTACTCTCCTGAAGATCACCAGCGTCTGATTTCAGGGTGTAGGAGAACTTCGTGCTAAGAACATCCAGCCTTTTGCTTTCATAGTTATGCAGAATCGTCCTTGTCACGAACCCGAGCACACCACAAAGGATCACAACCAGAAGGCAGAGGGAAAGGGCCCAACTTGAACCACCCTTCAAATAATCAGAGAGATTAAGTCAACTTCTTGAACAATTAGGCTTGGCAGCATTTAGTTCTGTCAAATTACTCCAAGGGTATTTTTTTAGTAAGCAAACATTTATTAGAAAATGCAGATGTACAGTAAGCACAAGGAGGGTTACACAATTTTATCGTCAACTGTCCTGACCTTCAGGGAAAAACCTCTCCAGCAAAGCATAGTTGCCATAAATACTTACACTATGACAAAAGATGATTGAAATGCAAGCTACTGACGGGATACTTAGCCAAAAGGAAACCTTATACCTTTCAAACTGTGAGCTGTAAAGACCAGCAAGCTTTATCACAGTGTGATACACTGTCCTAGAGTTTAGAGGGCAGGAAAATGCAGCAGACATTTAGCACACAACACTCATCTACTGAAGGAAGTACTTTTTCAGGTGATACAGAACTAACTTCTTGCCAAGTTCTAGAGCCAACACAAGCAAGTTCATAAATGGGTTAGGCAGATCAATGGGGAACTGGCTCACCAGCACTCTCATGTCCTGGGCTCTATCAGGGGATTTCCACGAGTATAGTGCACGCCAGCAAGACATCCTTTAGCGTCTGATGGATGAACCTTTGGTCTGACTCGTTTCTTGCAGTCAGTGAGCTGAGAATCAAGACATAACACTGCGCTTCTTACCAAGTGTTTGAAGCTCAATTTTGTTTGCACAAAGTAAAGCGTCCTCACCTGGAGCAGTGGGATTTTACACACTTTTTTCTCAAGGTGTCCCATGCATTTAATTCTTCCTTCCATCTCTGGTGAGCCTGAGCAGAAGACAAGCCACTGTCTCTGACAAGAGCAGACATTTCTGCACTGGGCCTGCTCTGCTTCTTGTTTGTGAAGTATTACAACACTGTGCAAACAAACAGTCCAACCACGGACAAAACAGACATCTTATATTAATCCCATACATGGGATTAGTCATGCTGATGTCGCAATCATTGATATCATGGGTAAAAACGACGCAAGGAAGGGGAGTTTGAAAAACTTCCATTACTGATTACTTGAATTATAAACAAAGATGTCCAACTCTCCTCTGCTAGCCCAACAAGCAGCTGTACCTACCTTTTGCCTGCCATCTTAGCTCAGGACTGCACTGGGGCAGGATCTCTGCCCCACCTCTGGAGTGGGCTGCCTTGCTATCACGATTGCAACCAAACAGCAAAAGCGTGATTTTACTGCTTTATATATGTTTATTCAACAGTTATGGGTACAATTCTTTGCTATCTTAAAGATATACCCTCATCTCACCTTCAGATGACAGAATTATATGGCAGAATTTCTGGTGCCAACCACACCGTAAGATCTTACATGGGTGAATATCTTTGTTCAGGGTGGTGCGGCACCAACATGGATCTCGAGCAGAGTCATGGTTGCTGCTATGCCAGTAATATTACCACTCATTGCTTGCTCTGGGTTTAGAGCACAGAGAAGAGTCTTAAACAAAATTCACTGGTAACCTCATTAAATTCTTTCAAGTTAAACATATCTTTTATTCATCCCTCCCATTCCCAAGAAAATACAGCTGTACAGCTGTGATGCTCTTACAGCTTTTGATTTAATCTTTCTATGCAGCAGAGGAGGTGGAAAGATGTGTGTTCAAACACAGGAAGAAAATCAAAAGACTTACATAGCAAAAGCAACTATGGAGAGTCAGGTCATTGCAGTACAGCTGTACAGCAGGCGGATAAACAGATACTGGACTGGTTTTCTTAGAAGTGAGCAACCAGTCACACGGACTGTGCAACTGCTCTCTCTGCTCTGCAAACACAGCCTGCTATCCAAACACCAGTATAAGTACTGGCATTACCCTGTATGCCTTTGCTATTTGTTTGCATGCATTTGTCTATAAAAGGTGACTCACAACAGATAGAGCTAGGAGAAACCCAGGGCAGAGGTTATAACACAGGTGAAGTCATCACCTCCTCGTTTGTCTGACAACACCGTCATGTGTAATGGGACTGACTGCAGCAGGCTAACTCCAGAGAAGCAGCAGCCCTGGGTACCAAGAGAAGCAGGCCCACACAAGCCATGCCACAAAGGACCGTGAAGAATTTGAGCCTGGGATTCACCTAGAGCCACCTGAGGGCACATTTGTGTAATGGGCTGATATAAATCAAGGTTTTTGGTCCCTGCTGAACTGTTTTCCTCTAGCACAGATCAAAGTAAAAGTGGTGATTTTTAGGTAGTGACAAAGGAGGTGTAGCTGCAAGCGGTGTACGAGCCGCTCCCTGCTTTAAGATGCAGTGTTCCAAAAACAAAAACAAACAAACAAACAAAACTTGCACAGATTTGTCCTCAGATTTCATCCTTACCTACTCCCAGTTATTTTAGTTAATTATTCCCCCCTAGCACAGCCAGTTCTGGACTAAGCATACTAGCAAGCATTTATTTACGTCCCTAAAGAAAGCAGCAGCACCAAGTACCAAAGCCTCTGATAACAGCCTGCAAGGGGGTCTCCTGCACAGGCACAAACAAATTTCACTTTCCCTGCATGGTCCCACTCCAAGCTGCTGTGGCTGCACTGGGCTGAGCTCACAGAGAAGTCAGTGGCCGGCGAGAGGCTGCCATCGTTATGGCTTTGTCTGGTTTTAATTAAGCCATGCCATCCTTCTTGAGGTAGGCTTGGTGGGGAAGGTGGCCTGCTTGCTTTGTTTGAAGGTATCTGGAAATATCTTGTGAACAAGCAGGCGGTGCGTGGTCACTACAGTTTGGCAACACGTGGGGCTACAGCAACCGTTAAACTGTTATCCTGTGGTTTGGGTGAAAACCTGCATTGAAAAACATCACAACTTATCTTGAGATAAACTAACTGAAGATGAGCAAGTAAGTGATATGCTCTTGCAACAGAGAGCTGCACAGAGCCCCAGGCTACGCAGAGCATTGCCAGCTCCTCCATCACAAGAAGCTGAGTCCAAGGGCCAAATAGCCTTGTCCCTTATCCTGAGCAGCACCAGATGTTTCCCAAGGATGGGCAAGAACCCCAGCCTGCTCTCACAGATCTCAACCTGCCCTCCAACACTTTGAGACTGGTTTATGTCTGGACATAGAACCCGTTAACCCCTTGGGAAAGCATCACCATTCATTACAACACCAGGTTGCCTCACTTCGCACTCAAGAACTTGAGTTAAGACACTCCTCATTGCATTTATGGCCTCACCAACTTGTGGACACAATGGGAGAGACATAAGTAAGCTCACTTAAACAATGGCTAAAATGATTTATTTCACAGCCCCACCGTCCTTCTGTTAAGTTCTCCAATTTTGTGGAAACAAGCCCCAAACAGGCTGAAGATGTTGGGAACAGGAGGTTCTCCCCGGCTGCCATACAACACATACCATTCCTGGGTAGCTACTTGTTGCCATCAATTGTGCTAGAAGCATCACCAAACCCTGTGACACAGAGGATTTGAAGCTTGATTTAAAATAAAAACAGAAGGAGGAAAAAAATAAGGCAGCCTTGACAAGATCTGCTTGACTCACCCTGGCTGCGGCATTTAATGTTGTTGGAGAATTGCTCCATGCAGGGAGTGATTCAGAAAAAGCTCAGTGAGGAAAAGCTTGTGACGAGGGAGACTCATCTGCCTTCCTTCAGAGCAGCTGCCTGGCTGCTGAGGACAGATGCTCTTGGCACGTTTATGGAGATGGCTCATTTATAGTAAATGAGCAACGCATTCAATAACCACACATTTATGAGACAGTTTCTAATCAAATCCTTCCTCCAAGCAAAGATAAGAGCTATCCTCTGTGTTTTCACCGTGAGCACATGACAGCTCCAGCTGTCTGCATTGTGCACAGCCACCGCATTGTGCAAGGATCCACCAGGCTGACGTGACAATCCCAGCTCCAGGGCACCGATCACTGCCTAACTGCAAAGATCTTGTGCTAGGAGCATACCCTAATTCTGCTTCTCAAGTAAGATGTCCCAGCTGTCTTTGGTCCACCAGCAGATCACGTCAGTGCCCTGAGCTGCTCCACGAGGGCATGCAAAGCACAAGAAATGTCTTCTTACTGTGGGTGAAAGAATATCATTCTGTTGAAGCTGCCACTGCTGTTCTGCTTCCTACCTTGACTTCTCTCCACTACCGTGGTGTGATGAGACAAGGGCTGCCTACCCTTGGGTGAGACAGCTACAAGCAACAGGAGAAGTCCTCAAGACTTTCTCCTAGAGCCACAGCAGCCTGCCCGAGCCAAGGGGAAGCATGCTGCATGTTAGTTGAGTCTGCTCAGATAGTGGGAGAAAGTGTGATTCACCTGGCAGACGAGCAAGTACGTTGGTGCTTTCCTTAGAGGAGCTGAAAATAGGAGGAGGAGGTTTCTTCACTGCTTCGCATTGCCAGGTTGGTGTCTCAGGAGTCAGAGACAACCCTCCATGGTCTGGGTAAGGATCAACCAGGCAGAGGAACTGAGGTCTGGGGAGAGATCTGCATGAGCTAGAGACCACAAAAATTGAGATGCTGAAGAGGAAGGGCAGTCCAGTCAGAAAAAGTGTGTGCATTTTATCTAGACACCACAGCAGATGCCAGTACAAAATGAGGTGTAACGGCTGCAGGAGCTGGCACATGTGAAAGAAAGCAGCTTCACAAGAAACCATGTTCTGGGAAAAGATCAGCTGGACCTTCAAGGTCTGTGCCAGGAGCCTCCTGCAGCTGGAGAGGCTTCAAACACTCAGGCTTTGCAGGGGTGGATGCGGTGAGATATGGCTGTGATGGAGACCCAGTGAAGGGACCTGGCCAACACCAAGGCAGAGGGGGCAGAGCCTTCTGCTCACTGCACACCCACCTCCCCATGCTCCTCTTCACCTTTCTGATAACTAGTGAGGCCTTTCAGTGGTTTCAGCCTCTCCTATCAAGTCTGTCTGTCTCAAACACATCACGTTCCTACACATTTTGAAGGAAAGGAGAAATCCCTCGGTGAGCAAGTAGGATGGGGAGGCACATCGGTGCTCCTGCACAGGAAAGGGCTGCAGCTGCCTGCCTCCCTGCCTGACCAACAAACACACAAACACACGTCCCCAAGGAAGAAGTAGCCAGGGCGCAGGGGTCTCCAGCTGATATTTGGGGGGTTTGTGAAGGAAAAGAGGATAGTGAGGGGTAGTAAGAGTTACTGCATCACAGGTAAGTATGAGTGATGCTGGACTTCACCAAACCTCCTCCCAGCCACACAGCAATTTGTCCCTTGCCTAGGTTCCAGTTCCCTCTCAGGGCTTTCTCTCTTCTCAGTGAGCATCACAAAGTGGCAGCTCTGCTGCAGGCAAAGCGGAGCAGCCCCAGACTAAAAGCACTGGCACAACGCAGAGAGGATTTTTGGTCCAGGTCCCAGTTTTACTATTGGCATCCAGAGGCATCTGCTTATTCCATGTCTCCTTTTTCTAGTGGGGCTGTCCTGTCTCCCAGCAGACACTGGATCCTGGGGAGTCTGCCTGCTTTCAGGGTATCACACATCCCTCCAGCTGCAGTTTTGCTCCCCCATCATCCTGAGCAGAGCATGTGGAGAGGGGAGAGGCCAGGCTGCCTGCCACCACAACTCTCTGTGTTTTTGCAGAAGGATCTGCTCAGTGGAAGAGCCCTGCTGGATTTCTCCTACTTCTGAAATTGTTTTTTCCTTTCAGCTGATGATGACCTACATAATAAGCAGGTCACTGGAACATCAGAGATTTTTTCTGAGGCAGAGGAGAAAAGCCAAACACAATTCCCCTGCTGTGCGTGCTTCCAAGGACAAAGCAAAATGCTGCTTCCCAGGGGTCCCATTCAGCTTGAGAGCCAGCTCTTCCCATCCGAAATCAGTGGGAGCTGCTGGGATCCCACTGGGGAGACCACCAGACCCTGCTCAAAACAACAGGCTAGTGAAGGACCATCTCCATGGGGGGGGACGAGGAGAGTCTTGGGAACATCAGCCATCCTCACATGGGCAGCAAATGCGCCACGTGCAGCCCCTGTGCACATGGCTGCGAGCCCATGCAGTGGCCTTACTGCTCGAGATTCAACCCGCCGTGCAGGGCAAACTCATTGAACAAGCAGCAAAGGGAGGGAAGGAGAGAGCAGGAAGATTTGGAGGGGATAGGTTGCCGTAGTGGTCCTCGTGGTGCAACCCATCCCCAGCTGGAGGAAGGGTCTCCTAGCAGTGAACCACAGGGATACAGGACTGAGTCATTCCCAGGCGGAACAGTGCCTTGGCTGAAATTCAGGCAGGCAACAAACAGTATTAGAAGAGCCTGAACTTAATTTGCTTCTCATTCTCTAGTCGTTTCTGCTCCTTTGCAGAAAGCATTCCTACAGGGTTGCTGCAGCGAAGCGTAAACTGGAAATGAGAAGGAATTGGGTAGCCTTGAGGAAGGAAGACCTTGGGATACCCCTTCAGCATGGTTTCAGGCACAGAACCAGACCATCCCAAGCCATTGTCTTCAGCATTGCTCACCCTAATCTTGCAGCTGATCTCTCCCCACTTTCAGCCCCCCCCAAACAGGAGAAAACACTGCAAGATGTAGGCCAGCATCCCCAGTCTCCCCTCCGAGCTGCTTGCAGGAAGCTTGCAGCTCCCTACCCAACAGTCAGGGGAGATTATCTGTTACTGAAACAGGTGCAACACGATCCCACCTGGGGCTCAGCAACGGTCCCAGAAGGACAGAGCAAGCAAGTAACCAGAGCAGAGAGAGGTAAGAAGCTCTCTCAGCCTGATGGCTCCCAGAGCTTCGGTAACAGTAGCAGCAGCTTGGTAAGTAGGTCACACTTATGATCCTTAATTAATCCTGAAGAGCCCCCATCTGCCATGGGGAAGATGGCAGATAAGTTAGCTCATTAAGCACACGAACAGGCCAGGGGGAACGTCATACCCTAGCCTAACCCCTGGAGGCATGGGGACAAAATCCCGTTTGGCAGCAGTGACTGCTTTGCCCAGCCTGCGCTCAGCCAGCAGACGCACCGGGCTCTCCCTATTGCCCCTGAGGAAAGGAAGGCAGCCCCTTCACCAGCCACCACACAAACCACACTGATATATGCCATGAAAGAGGAGAATGCTTGGAGCAAAACCAGCCCAGGGGCAGGCAGAGATTGGCTCCAACAAAGGAGCCTTACCAAGTCCCGAGCCCCAGCTCCCTGTGCTGTGCTTATGCTGTCACCCCACTCTTCTCCCCACACCTCTGGGTGCTGTGCACCCCCTGGAGCCCATCTCCTGTGGGGTGGCTGTGCACATAGGTACGGGTGGCTGATACCTGGGAGAATTGCCCAGGTGCCTGTGATCTGTTCTGCCTCCAGAGCCTGTGTTCTGCATCTACACATGATTAATATTAATATCTTGATCTGCTTAAGTCCCCCCATCACAAGCAGATAAGCTCAGATAATGCTGATTGGGTTTTCAAGTCCCACTTCTCCCACCTGGGCAATGAAAAGGCAGCCACCATCAGCAAAACATAACAGGGCTTCTGAGAACTCAGCCCAGAGCAGGAGTATTAAAAACAATGTTTTCAAAGAAGCAATGGGTGACTAATAAAGCATAAACTAGCAAAAGGTGTTAGATGGGGGCAGCTTAGTACTGAAGCTGTGTCTCCAGAGACCCTTATTAAGGTGTCACTTGTGCTCACTACCACCCTCCAAGGCACTGCGTGCAGCAACCTGCACATCTGACAGCCCACCAGGGATCAGATGTAACTGCATATGATTAAACCAGGACACGTAGCAGGTAGAAAAGTTGCCAGGTAAACATAAATCAGTATTTCTACCCAAAGAAACTTTGAATAGCAGAGCAACTGAGCTCCAGCCATACGTACCATCCCTGTACATGTGCATTGTTCCCTCTGATCCAAGTGCAGCTTGGTGAGGGACCACGCTGCTAAGGGGTCGATCCATGAAAACAAGGTCACTGTCACATTGGGTCACCAGACCAAGAGCTAGTGCAAGGACCTTAGGAAGGTTGTACTGAAATCACGTCTTCCAATTATAAAGCACACTTAGAAAGCAGTTCTAGTTCATTTCCTCTCGTAATTGGAGTTTTAAGTCTCATCATCCTTCACAGCAAATATATCTTAACAGGGAGGTTGCTATGAAGGAGACACAGTTTTGGGAACCACACTGAAGCACACATATAAAAGGTTATCACCTTTCTGAGGCAGTCATACAGACAGCACAGGTAGCGTGGAGCAAGCTGCAATCCCAAAGGCTCACAAGGAAACCGAGAGCTCACCCCCTTTGCTCACCTGCAGATGAGCAGCACACTCCTTTGGTGTGCCCAGCACCAGCCTCCAGTCAAAGTGCAACTCCAAGCGTTAGGCCAGCCCTGAGGACCTTCTGGATACCAACACACAAGGATCTGGAGGACTGGCACATCTCTGCATGTTAAAACTGTGGCCTCCTGTTTCACGACTGAAGCCACAGCTGCTCCCCTCCCAAATGACCCCACTTTTCACTACAGGTTCTCATTCCTGCTGCAGGTCAGACAGGATGAACACCGGCTTCATATCTTACAGCCCAGCCTGGTAAGGGTATGTTGACAACTGCCTAAGCTGCCCCAAGCGACACCTCGCCGCGCCATCCCCACCGGACACCCCAGTTCTCCACCTGAGATCTGCTGCAGCAGGAGGTCAGGCAGCTGCTGATGAGGTAGGGAACACAAAACATCACCTTTGTCTCCACTTCCCCTCCTCAGGAAGTCGTAGAGAGCAGCGGGGTCACCCCTCAACCTCCAAGCTGAACAAACCTGGTGTCCAAGGCCTACCAGCCCTCTAACCAGCTTTGTTGCCCTCCTCTGGATGCATTCAAGTATCTCACCATCCTTTAAACTGTGGAGCCTGGAACTGCACACAATATTTCAAGTGAGGCTGCAAAAGAAATGCAAAATCATCATCGGGGCTTTTGGGGAAAGTGTTCAGAAGCTGCTTAAGCCCTAGCATCCCAGCACTATCACTGTGCAGTGGAATTAGTCTGAAAACTTGCTGGTGGTGCTGTTGGCTGGAGAAAGCCAGTTTCCCCTCACCCCAAAATTCTTCTCTGGGTTGGAGGAACAGCCCTCCCCACCACATTCTCCCACGGCTTGCTACTTTCTCCCTGTTTGAACCAGGAGATAAACTTGGACTCATCAATCAGCCTTTATCAGGGCTCAGGGTGTGTCTCAGGAGAGATAGCCTGTACTAACATTGATCTTAAAAAATAAAGAAACACATTATAAAATTTCGCACTGGAAACAAGACGCTGCATTTTAAGAATGTAAACTCTGAATTGCTTTTTTAAGTCAAACTTTGAAGCACAGACTTGCCAAGACTAGAGGTCAAGATTGGAAATACTTCAAAAAAAAACATAACAGCTACACTCCAGTTCACCTAGAAGCCCATGGGATGGCTGCAGGAATCTTTGGGCAAAGTGCTGTAACCTGCGAGAAACTCTTCTCTCTGAAGAGAATAGATTTTCTAATGTATATTAAAGTTCCCTAGGGTAAACAGAGCTCTATATAAAACCACAGCACAAAGGTCGATCAAATGATCCGTCACTAATGCTAAGCCAGCAACACACAGCAACTCTCCACCCTCCCTTGGTTTGATCCTGCATTCAATTCAACATGAGAAACTGGGCATGGAAGTAAAGAAAATTATTTAAACCTGTGTTTTGATTTTCAACATTTCAGTCTTAATTGCACATCTGATTCCTTTTAACTTCTTTGTTTTACAGTCTTTGCATTTCTATCTCTTTGTAGGACATTTCCTAGAATCAGCTTTTATTTTCCTTGACAAGGGCTGGGGGAATGCACAGTTATATGAGAAACCAGGTGAACCTCACCCCATTAGGTGAAGAAATTCCTGAAAGACATTGGAGGCTCCATGTTATCTACCATGTCCCCTGGAGATACAAGAACAATACGTTAAACCTCTTCCAACCATTACCACCACCCCAGGCCAATACCTGACAAGACTCAGCACATCAAGTCAGAGACTTCAAAAGTTTGTTCCTCTAAGCCACCTAATGTCATAGATCTAAGCTGAAATGGTGTTCAAATCTGCTGCAAATACATCAAGTCAAATAACCCACATGCAGAAGAGGCTGCCAGCTAGGTCACAGTACCACACGAAACTCCCATCCCCAGCTCTCCTGGCTGCTCTTCACTCGTATTCCTCCTGGTACTGCCTCTGCTGTTTGGCAGGCAGATTGGCCCAGGAGCCTTGAAAGCAGAGCCCAGAGCTTTGCGTGACTTAGGTTGTTTGTGAGACAGTGCAAACAGAGCATTTGCCAGCTTTTTGAAGAGTTCAGGACAAAGTCAAATGAGGAATGGAAGCTTGCTGTACTCCAGTAACCCGAATACATTGTAAAGGTTTTCTGGTCTGCCGCTCACAATTTGGAGTTATAATATACTAATTTCCTTCCTTGATATTCAGCACTGGCTCATTCTCATCTGTTGCTGACACTCTTATCATTTTAATAACTTATTGATGTCCTCTATCCTTATCTGTAATCTTTAGAACGTGGGGAGGAAAAATAAGTCTTGCACCTCAAAGGTTAAGCAACAAGAGCTATTGCAACACAGCAGAGAAGTCTCATGGGCAGCAGGCACCAACACACTGGGAGATGAAAAGATTTGCAGAGAAAGGGGCTGGACACCAAGCTCATCCTTCCACATTTCTGCAGGCTAGGGCATTGCACAGGCTTTTCTCCCACTCATAGGAGTGGGTTTGGCCCTGTGATGTTTTGTGCTCCCATACACATTTGTGCTAATTTTTGATCTCTGGAACATCTCCACTTAGTGAGGCATCCTTCAGCTCTCCACTTTCTATCACCCTTTGGATTCTTTCTTTCAAGAAGCTAATTCAAATTAATTATACAGCTATAACAACTTATATTACTAACAATTGAATATAACAACTAATTTTGTAATTATAAAGATTTCCTGGCCATTGATAGAAACAATAAAAGATTGAAACTGCTTTACACTTCCCTTTGTTTATTGCTTTCTCCAAGGCAGTTCTTCAGACAATTTCAAGACAAACAATATCTGACACTGGACAAGGGGAAAAGCCAAGCAGGTAATGGAAGAGTCCTGTTGCCTCAGTGTGTGCTCATTCATGGGATGACCCACACTCAGGAACTCATGGTTTGGGGCTAGTCAGGAGGGCTTTTCCCTCACTTTCTCATGTCATCGGCAGGTGTCCTGTTCTGATATGCTTCTACTCTTTACTTCACTGAAATGTTGATTCTTGCAGAAGAAATTAAAATACCAGATGCATAGGAAAAGTGCTGAAACAAACCTCAATAACTAGCCTTGCTGGTAGGTGAGAGAGGAGCAAACAAGAGAATGAGGGCAAATGTGAGGCAAAGCTCACAGCAGATGGAAAGAGCTGTATACGAGTTCCTGCTGCGTACTCCACAAAGCTAGACAAACTCGAGGATGCAGGATAAAAATGAGACTCTTTCAGATTTCCAAATCTGAAGCAACTTGAGTGAAGTCAAGGAGATATTCTGGAATCAAGATAAATCAGCTGGGCTCTAACTTGCAGCAGCCCCCACGAGGGAGTGGTGCCCTGCAGCAGAAGGGCAGGGTACCTGTAAGAGGAAGGCATCAGCTTCTGCTGTCCCAGCAGAGCGTGAGTCATGCCGCTGTAATGGGACTTTACCAAGTGACTGAACCCCTCCACATTCACGGGAAGTACCTGGGGCTTGGCAAATGGGCAAAAATGCCCTGACCCAACGCCCTGTGAGGACTCACAGGCCAATCATTAATTTTAAAAGACATTCAGCACACTGGGGAGAAAAACAGTTTGGTGCTTGTTTGCATGAGATGGGGTAAGAAGCTTGCCTCACCTGTGCCTATAAAGCAGGGGTGCTGCTCAGTCACTCGACAGATCATGGTTGCCTCAGCATTCAATAGCTCCTCCAGGCAGATTGAATTCTCTAGTGGTCACAGGGTCCTAGAGAGAAATGAGATTTCCGTCACGTGAGAAAGACAAGGAAGGCACCGGATTCAAATGAGGAAAATCTGCTAAAGAAATTCAGCATGGGAGGAATTGCTGCTATGCTACTCTTGCAACTCTAAAGTTTTGCCTTAAAAGGTAAAGTAAGTTCTAAGAAATGCTGGTCTCAGCACTGGAGATGAAAATTCTCAGATCTGAGCCTGGAATTTGAGTCTGGATTAAATCCAGATGTCAAGTTCATATCCACTCCCTTAGAAGATTCAGCTCTCAATATAGACAGTGGCTTGTGCGTGGGGAGGGAGATTGTTTCTCTGTCTTGCCCTCTTGTGACACTGACTGGGTGGGAAAAAATAAGGAATGTGTGCATCTGAGTTGAGAAGTGGGCAAAATGTTGCTAATGTTACGTGCTTTCATTTGGACAAGCTGGATATAGAGGGGCTTTGACTCTTGCTTTTCTCATGAAGTACCTAAATGCTCCCTTAAAAGCATAAAATCCCTTAAAATTCCAAGAAAGGAGCTAGCTGCTGACAGATGCGAGACTGGATGAAGGTTCCACACCTGTGCATCACATTTTGCTTCCAGGAATACTTGGAAAACTTACACAAGATATGAAGGATGGGACGGAAGTACTGAAGGTACCTTCTACTCGAGCCTCTCTGATAAACCAGTAGCATGAAAAGAGACCATCTTCCCAGAAATTATTCATGGACAACTGCAGAAAACCCCTGTGGTAGGGGATTTTTTTCTTTTTCCATTTAAATCTCAATATGGGAAACACTTTCTATGGCTTCTTATCCATCTCCCAAATTGCTGGAATTTAACCTTTTTTCCCCCTCTTGCAACTTATTTAGCAAAGAAATGGACAAATCATCAGAATGGAATGGGCTTAAAAAAGATAAAATCAGCAGAGACTCTCGGGGGGGCTGAGCCCTTCCCCTGACCTACCCCACAGATCCATCTTCCTCTGCTGAAGCCAGCTGGTACGCAGCACCTCAGGGGCTCTTCCCAGAAGGCTGCTCTGAAACATGCTTACAGCCAGGAACTACCCAGCTTCCAAACTTTTTGAAGGTCAGTTGAGCAAGTTTGTTCTCACACCAGTGCTATCCCTGCAGCTTAAATAATTTTCCTGCTCTATGACATGCTGCTCCATCCTTTCAGAGGCAGCCGTTCCATCTCCCCTGCCTGCCATACCTGCCAGCTCCCCCTGACCAGCTCCCCTCTCTCCCAGGATGGGCTCCCTGTTCTCCAGTAAGCCAAAATGGTGTTGCCCGTTTTGTGGCTCCTCTTTATTGGAGTACGGCAAAGGCTGTTTGTGTGGCAGTCCAAGCTAGTTTCTCCTTAGCCCTGTGGGATGACAGTAATATGTTGCAGCAATAAAATACCATTTAACCCACTGAAACCCTAAGAAATTCTAGTTAATGGCAGCTCTATTAGTATTTACTTTACTTCCAACATTTAACTCTGGCAATACTCTGGGATTGTTGAGAAGACACCCTTTTCCCCTGATTTTCCCCCATTTTGTTGGTCCCAGAGCTCACAATCATCTCTGTGCGCTGACGACATGTTCCTTCAGCAACTCTCCAAGATCAGGGTCAAGTTAATGGCATTCCACTGCTGTTTAGCTCAGCGCAACTCCTGTCACCTACAAGGTTAAATAAATTCACCAAACCAAGCTCTAAAGAAGTGTCATTATGGCATCTGATTAATAGTGCAGATTGCAGGGAAGTCTGACAGGAAAGCCGAGAGCTCTGCTTCACTTGGAGATCTCTGTATTGTAGCCAAGGTCACTGTTTCAGCTTCCAACCTTGAATTAAGTTTGAGTAAAAAGCAGATGTTCTTCAGGCTTCCTACTTGATGTGTACACTTCTGAATGCAAAACCAGAAATTTCTGAATTCCAGCAACAGAACAGACTAATTTACTTCATCTCTCAACCTTGCAACATGCTAAGGTGCTGCTATTAAGATAATCAGGATAAAGAAGCATTATCAGATTTTTGTGGGATTGAACCTGCTGTGGCAGGTGTCCACAAGCGATGAGCTCTGTGCTCTGCTGCAGTCCTCTGCCAGCGTACTTGCACAACACCTCTCCGGTGCATCTTACAATGAAACAAGCGTTCCCTCTGCCCCTCCTAAGTCAAGCATCATGATTACTGAATATGGGAGGAGTGGGAGGAGAAAGAAAAATACCATCAATGTACTGTAAATTAAATTTATGCGACTTGACCTCCATTGTTAAAATTAATCCATCGCACAGAAATAATCCCTTAAATTCAGAGACATTAACTCTGCTCTAGGAACACTCACCAGGTATCTGCACAGTAGAATTTTGTGATATTTCCTCATTTTGAAAAATAAGCGACGTGATTCAAAGATTCGGGGTAGGTAGACAGATGTTGATGGCTGAACATGGAAGAGTGATAATCTGAAACACAGATCAGGTATCTTTAAATTTGAAGTGCTTGACTATTGTATTTTGCAAAATGCAAATAGCTAAGGCACGTAACACTAACTGAAAGCCAGTTACAAAAGGAGAGCGCTCTCCGTGAGCAAGCTACACTAATAAATTGAAGCCTAGTCCTTGTGTTACCAGGTGACCAAGACTCCTGTTAACACAACCGCTATACAGACTGAGGTCAAATGCCATAGCTTTAGTTCAATCATTTATTTACAGAGCAAAATAAAACTGTTTTATGTTGTTTTATTTATTTATTTTTTAGTTTAATGATGCTCACTGATGAAAGAAAGCTTATTGCTTAATGTAACTTCTGCATTATGTGTTGGAATAATGAGTTGTTTAAGATCAAGACTTCTTGACTTCTTAAGTCTTCATCAAGACTTATTAAACAATGCCACAGATTCCTAATAAGCAACGAGCAAACTGTGGTTAAAAAAATCATTCAGCCCAGTCCCATGCCTCTGCCTTGTAAGGTCTCCTACTTCCTCAGGGCTGCATGAAAAGGGGAGAATTCCGTTCCCTTTCTTAATCCAGCAAGCCTGTTATTGAACAGCATTTGTGAAGCTTGCCTTCCTCTGGATCTATTTACTTAGACCATGTTTACATATTGTGACCAGCACCCTCCAAGCAAGTCTGTTAGAAAGAGAGGAGGGCCAGGTAAATATCCTGCTAGTCTTCCCCCTGCCTTCCTACACAGGAGCTATCTAAAGATTAATCTGCAGCATGCAAATACTGACCGGTGCTTTCTGTGTGTCTTTTGTACCCAAACTTCAGTTGAGCAGCGAGTTCTATGTCAGTTTTGTGTTTCCCCCATCACTGTACTATGAGTGCCTTCTAGCAGCTATGTGACTTGTGAGATACTTGTCAAGTAAAAGCGAGCTTTACCTCCTCAAACCTCTGTACCTGTTACAAAAAGTACATTAAAAGGGCCCTAGAGCCGGCTCCTGTCTGGGTAAGAGGTATGCGAGGCTGGGCCTGGCAGCACTCTGCCCCAATCCTGTCTTCTGTAAAATCATAATTTCGCAAGATGGGGGGGAGGGAAATGCATCATCTTCCTTCTCTGTTCTTCAAAGTTAGCATATCCCTTACGGGAATTAGCACTACGGCAGCTTGGATAGCCAGATTTATTAGGGGAGGTCCTTTTATCACTACCCGCTTGTAGATATTCTATAAAAAAAAAAAAGTTTTTTAACGTTCACTGCAAACCAGAGGATGCAAGATTTGACTTTGTTTTGCTGCTGCCATTTCCACAAGGGCATTATTAGCCCCCAAACCCTGACCGTTGGCATCATGCCTCAAAAACGAGGCAGCCTGAGCATCTCTGCCAGGGGAACAGCGAGGGCCAGGGTCCTGCCACCACCAGCAAGACCCCTGGCTGCTTGAGGGCTCCATGAGGCAGGGGGGACAGGCACCAGGGGACACCGGAGGCGCTGGGTTTCTACTAATGGCATCTGAGAGCCAGCCACAAGGCCAGAAACTGGGCTTTTTTCTTTACAGAAAGGGTTGTGAGGCATTGGGATGGGCTGCCCAGGGAAGTCACCATCCCTGGAGGTCTTTAAAGACGTTTAGCTGTAGAGCTCAGTGATATGGTTTAGTGGAGGACTGGTCAGCGTTAGGTCAGAGGTTGGACTAGGGGATCGTGGAGGTCTCTTCCAATCTAGATGATTGTGGGATTCTGGGATTCTTTGGTTCTGTGATTCTGTGATTCTGTGGTTCTGCGGTTCTGTGGTTCTGGGATTTTGGGATTCTGTGGTTCTGTGGCTCTGTGATTCTGGGATTTTGGGATTCTGTGGTTCTGGGATTTGGGGATTCTGTGGTTCTGTGGCTCTGTGATTCTGGGATTTTGGGATTCTGTGGTTCTGTGGTTCTGGGATTTTGGGATTCTGTGGTTCTGTGGCTCTGTGATTCTGGGATTTTGGGATTCTGTGGTTCTGTGGTTCTGGGATTTTGGGATTCTGTGGTTCTGTGGTTCTGTGGTTCTGGGATTTTGGGATTCTGTGGTTCTGTGGTTCTGGGATTTGGGGATTCTGTGGTTCTGTGGCTCTGTGATTCTGGGATTTTGGGATTCTGTGGTTCTGTGGTTCTGGGATTTGGGGATTCTGTGGTTCTGTGATTTTGGGATTCTGTGATTCTGTGGTTTTGTGATTCTGTGGTTCTGTGATTTTGGGATTCTGTGGTTCTGGGATTTGGGGATTCTGTGGTTCTGGGATTCTGAGATTTTGGGATTCTGAGATTTTGGGATTCTGTGATTCTGTGGTTTTGTGATTCTGTGGTTCTGTGATTCTGGGATTTTGGGATTCTGTGATTCTGTGGTTCTGTGATTCTAGGATTTTGGGATTCTGTGGTTCTGTGGTTCTGGGATTTTGGGATTCTGTGATTCTGTGATTCTAGGATTTTGGGATTCTGTGGTTCTGTGATTCTAGGATTTTGGGATTCTGGGGTTCTGTGGTTCTGGGATTTTGGGATTCTGCGGTTCTGTGAAGCGAAGGCGCTGCCCCCTCACAGCCCCCTCACGGCCCCCCCAGGCCCCGCCCCCACCCCCTCAGGACGCCCCGCCCCACGCGTTCCCGCGCTTGCGCTCTGAGGGCGCAGGCAGCGGGTTGGCCGCAACGCGCCTGCGCGGCGCCGGGCGGGGCTATATAAGGGGCAGCGGCGGGGCCGCCGAGCGGGCGTTGTGCCGGGCGAGCGGCGGCGTCACTTCCGGTCTGCCAGCTGAGGCGACGAGGAGAAGCTGAGGCGACGAGGATGGAGGCGGTGGTGCGGCGCTGCCCGTTCCTGGCCCGCGTCTCGCAGGCCTTCCTGCAGAAGGCCGGGCCCTCGCTGCTGCTCTACGCCCAGCACTGCCCCAAGATGATGGAGGCGGCGCCCCCGGCCGCCGCCCGAGGCCTAGCCGGCTCCGCCGCCCGCGGGCAGCAGGCGGGGGAGACCCCCGCGGCCCAGCCGGGTGAGTAGCGGCCCGCGGCCGGGGCAGGCGGAGCCTCTTAGGGCCGCGATCGGGCCCTGTGTGTGCGGAGAGGCCGAGCTGCCCTTGAACGGCAGCGGGAGAAGCTTCTGGAAGGGGCAGCTTTCTCGATAAGGGTTGCTTAGTGCCCGCGGTGATTAAACGAGGGTGCTGTGGGCTTGTCTGCGAGATCAGGGATGGGCAGCTCCGCCGTGGTGACGGCAAGGCCACGGGCCTTGCTCACGCTCGAGTGGCTTTTCGTTGGACTTGGTACCGTGCCTTGGGGCGCTCTGTCCCTGGCACTAAGGACAAAGAGCTAAGGCAGCAAAGGGGTGGCAGGAAACAAGCCTTCAAAATCAAAATCTGCCCTTTGGAGATGAAGGAGAAATTTTTATCCTGAGAAGGGTGCATTGCTGCATCAGGGATCTTAAATCAGGTGTCCTTTGGGTGTTCATTCTTGTATAAATAAGATGTGAACACTTGGCTAAATAATTCTTAGTGGTTTGTACTAAATTATTTGCTAGAATAGTGGATAGGAAAGCTCAAGTCACTATTAAAAAATTGAAACTGAAGTGCTTGCCTTTCTGTGCCTTCCTCAGAGGGTAAAAATGCCAAAGATGCGGCCCAACAGAATACAGATGGATCCCAGCCACCTGCTGGCCACCCGCCTGCTGCTGCTGGCCATAGCTCTGCTATGAAATGCCCATTCCTGGCAGCTCAGATGAGCCACAAGAACAGCAATGTCTTCTGCAAAGCCAGCATTGAACTTCAAGAGGATGTGAAGGAAATGCAGGCGGACAGGAAAGGTATGTGTTGTGTGTGCCAAAGTGTTGGTTCTTTCCTAGAACCTTTGGTACTTGACTTTCCTCTGTTGCGTGCCAAGTCTGACAGTCACTGCTTACCCTATGTGGGTAGGGTTACGATAAATTGCAGTAAAAACTTGGTGAGGAATGCATGTGTTAATGGTGTACCTGCAATGTTGTGCAGTGATTGCCCTCAGTGATCTTGAGGCAGGAATTCTTTAGACCGTATTTTGATGCCCTGTTTCTAAATGTGTGAATCAAGCTATTTGTGCTCCCAAAGCAGGGGCTTGGGATTGAAGAGAGCCTTACTAGGGTGCTGGTATAAATGAGGGTGGTATATCCAGAGACAGAAGAAACACTGTCAGGGTATTGCACAAATAGCAGAACGAATCCAAACTGGAAAGCGAGCAAGCAACTAACTGGCTTTTGGTTTATGGAACTACAGGGTGTTACGGGCTGGCTTGCAATCTGGTGTAAAAGGGCTGCCCTTTAAATGAAGGAACTTTTCACCCATATTTGTAAATCCTTGCTGTCTGTCTCAGAAAGGAAGCCTGTTTTCTTTTTCGATTTTTTAGCAGAACAAAGTACTAGAATGGAAAGGAAGCTGCCAACCTTAATTCTGCCTTCAGTTACCTATCTCCTGACTTTCAGATGAGTGCTATAGCTCTATAGGGTGGGTTTCTGAGTCATGATGAATCAATTGTGTTATAAGATAATTACATTGAATGCTGTCATTGATTAGAAAGATTTTCCTTTTGTCTCATACAATGCAAAGTTAGAAGCAGATGCAGTAGCTGATCCCAGCAGGAGCCTTTAGATTCAGGTATGTGCTTTCTAAAGAATGAAGAGTTAAGCTACTTAAAATGTTGCAGTGCTGAACTCAACTGAAAAACCTCTATTTTAAACCGATTAGCTCACCATAATTCATTGATGTCTGTAGGTAAAGAATTTGCCAATGTAACAACTTCCCCAGCGAGGAATGCTGAGAAAGAGGGAGAAGAGCAGAATGGCTTGCTCAAGAGGTTTAAGGATATTATGCTGAAGCAAAGACCTGAGCGCGTGTCTCATCTGCTTCAGGATAACTTGCCAAAATGTAAGATAACATGGCAAAACCCTCACAGACCTGATCCCTTGTGTTTTTTTTTTTTCTGTGTGCTGAAGTCTGTGTCATTTCAAATCATTTCAGCTGTATCAACCTTCCAGTATGATCAGTTCTTTGAGAGAAAGATAGATGAAAAGAAGAAAGATCATACCTATCGGGTATTCAAAACAGTGAACCGAAAGGCACAGATCTTTCCCATGGCAGATGACTACTCTGATTCTCTGATCACCAAGAAGGAGGTGTCTGTCTGGTGCAGCAATGACTACCTGGGCATGAGTCGTCATCCCCGTGTGTGTGGAGCAGTGATGTGAGTAGTGCCATATTAAGGGTCATTTACAAGCCTAGGGTGCTCTGCAGAAGCTTTTGTAGGAAGATATCCGAAGAACTGACCTGTGCACGAAGCTACATAACCTGCTTCTAGTGTTGTTCTTGTTATAATGAAGCTTCTCTTGAGCTAGAGTAGATAAATTACTACTGCTGTAGAACCAAATACTATTTACTTGCCCTTCTGTGACCTTACTTGATTTTTTTCCTCAAATTTCCGAATACTACTGGACAAACTGGGTGGTATATTGCAGCTGTACTGCTTCCTTAGCTTATTGAATCCCTGAGTTGTGCTGGTTGCTTAAGACCTTAAAACTAACAGCAGCTTTTGACAGCCAGTTCCATTTTTAAGACAATACTAATTAGGTACTAGACTGTCTTGAGCAATGATCCTGCTATCCATCTGTGGTGCTCAGTAACACTGTCTTTCTTTGGGCCCTTTGTAGGGATACACTGAAACAGCATGGTGCTGGAGCAGGAGGCACAAGAAATATTTCGGGAACAAGCAAATTTCATGTTGATTTGGAGAAAGAACTGGCTGATCTTCATGGAAAAGATGCAGCACTGTTGTTCTCCTCCTGTTTTGTAGCCAATGATTCTACCCTCTTCACTCTAGCTAAAATGCTTCCAGGTGAGATCTCAAAGTGCATTTTGTATTTACCACAAAAACCCACACTGAGCAATTGGGAGTACATTTTGCAAATGGCCACCCAAAGTGTGTCTGTTGGGTGATTCATCCTACTCAACCAGAAGAGTCTATTTTGTTTAAATGCTATAAATTCTGTGCAGCTATTGCAAGTCATAGTTGTAGCCTACTGAGGCTGAATAGGTTGCTGTGAACTGCAGAGGGAATAGAGCAAAAAGCACTGGGTCTTTTACTTTCACTTGAATTCCACCTGAAAATGAGGCAGCAGGGATGTAGTATCCTTACACCTGAAGGTGTGAATTTCTCTCCCTCTGATGTAGTTCGGGGCAGGTTTGCTTTAACTTCAGAAGTTGTTATATAAAGTGTTAAGGACTTAGAAGAACCCTCTGCATTTCTTTAGGCTCAAATTTCTATTGGTTTAGACACAAAACAAGCCTTAAATAATATTTTTGCCTTATGATTTTTAAATTTTTCCTCTGGTCAAGAGAGCTTTCTAGAACTTTCTTGTGCTGCTTGAGCACTTACTGTATGTGAAATGATGCTGGGAATTAGCCAGTGCTTTCTGTACTTGACTTGTAACTGGATTGTTCCCTCAGGCTGTGAGATCTACTCTGATTCTGGAAACCATGCCTCCATGATCCAGGGGATTCGAAACAGCAGGGTACCGAAGCACATATTTCGCCATAATGATGTCAGCCATCTTCGAGAGCTATTGAAGAAGTCCGATCCATCTACCCCTAAAATTGTTGCATTTGAAACTGTACACTCAATGGATGGTAAGGTGGCATAGACTCCTCTCTCCTTCCAGTGCAGTCAGTACTCAAATCATCTGTGTTTTGGGTCTAAAAGCGTTTCTTTTAGACAAACCATTACAGCATTTTAGCCCAATGTTTATCCAAGCTGAATAGAGGGAATCCTAAACTGCCTGTTGGTGCTTTGGTCTGTAGGTGCTGTCTGTCCTCTGGAAGAGCTGTGTGATGTGGCCCACGAACATGGAGCAATCACTTTTGTGGACGAAGTGCATGCTGTGGGGCTGTATGGAGCTCGAGGTGGCGGTATCGGAGACCGGGATGGAATCATGCACAAGATGGACATCATCTCTGGAACGCTTGGTATGCATGGCCTGGTGGTTTCACAGCAGCTTATGTGTTCTAAGGCAGTAAAGCTTCTGAGCAGCTGAATTAAGTGGGTTAACTCAAAATCAGTCTATTGAAATGAACTTGCTAAGGATTTATGGGGGGGTTAGTGTTTTTCAGAAAGCCCAAAGGATTTAAGTATGTCCTGCATTTTGGAAAGTATTTAAGCTACTTACCTTGCCTTACTAATCAGCAAAGGCAGCATTTTTACTTTAACAAGCTAGCAAAAAAAAATCCTTTTGTAGCATATTGGACAAGTCCTGAGAAAATTCAGGTGAGAAAGATAGTAAGGTAGTACTCTATACTTAGTAGTACTTGGTTCTTTTATATGAAATGGAGTGCTCCTAATCCAGAAACCTGAGATGAGGAGTTACATAAAAAGACTTGGCAAGAACTGAAGCAACTGCTATTATCAAAGTAGAATGCAGGCTTAGGTGTAAGTTTACTGCTGCAAATTAGAAAGGTTTTTCTAAATAGCTTCCTGAACATGTAACTTACCAGGAAAGCTAATATCTCAAACTCCTACTGACTTGTTACAGCCTAATAAAAACAAAGTTCCTCACCAGACACCATGTTTTTATTTGTTGCTTGGTTCTGGTACCTGAGCATTCCCCCCTTATCTGGAAAAGGGGGACCTGTATTCACCACAGTAACAACATGTGCTCCTTAGGAGCGTAGGCTATTTCTAGCATCTCTGGAGCAGATTACTTTAAATCTGCTGAGAGACTTAGCGTTGATCTTCTAGGGTCACTACAGAAGTCTGTGCTTGATGATTGTACTTAAAAGTTCTTCCTCAAGATCAGAATTTGAATGTTTGAGATGATCTTGAGCTGTGCGTGCTATGTAATAACTAGCCCAATTGTTCCTGGGATTGGTTTTAAAAACAAAGCTGCAACATGTGCTGAGTAAATACAAGACTGGGGGGGTGGGGCTGGAACTGTTGCCTGCTGTGTACGTAATGTTGTCAAAATAACTCATAAGTGAAAACGAAGTAAGGCTGTAATACTTCAAGTTGTTCTAATGGGTGGAAGGGAATAAGTTGGGATGATTTACTTTTCTATTTTTTTTAGGCAAAGCATTTGGTTGTGTAGGAGGATACATCTCCAGTACAAGCTCCCTGATAGACACTGTTCGTTCATACGCTGCTGGCTTTATCTTCACAACATCCCTGCCACCCATGCTCTTAGCTGGTGCCCTGGAATCTGTCCGAACTCTGAAGAGTGCAGAGGGACAAGTGCTGAGGCGCCAGCACCAGCGCAATGTGAAGCTTATGAGGCAAATGCTGATGGATGCAGGGCTTCCTGTGGTGCACTGCCCAAGTCACATCATTCCAGTAAGGGTAAGTACTAGGATATCTCTGACACAAGACCATGGTGCCTGTTTTCATGGCTATGATCACATTGTTTCCAGGTGTTAATAAACATTCACACAGTTCAAAACTGCCATAGTGTTCCGCAGTGATGTGCTAGGAGTCTGGTTTACCTTCCTTGTCTGAATAAAACTGGGATTAAGTGGACTTCTGCCTGATAAAAATGTTGTAAAGCACAATGGTAGTGTACAAAATCCACCATCTAACAGTGCAGAGAAGTCAAAGATACTGGTAATAAGCCAGTAAAAAGGAGTTCAGGTATTAACAGTTACCTGCTTAGGCCTGGAGGGCACTAGAGTAAAAGTTTTTAGTCTTTGATGCGTGTTCTGTTTAGTGAACACAAGGAAGCCTAGTTGTGCTTGACTCGTGGCTGGCAAAATTGGGCTGAATTCTGCTACCTTACATGTTATTGTTAATCTTAAAATTTTTTGTTTTTTGAATTTCAGGTTGCAGATGCTGCTAAGAATACAGAGATCTGTGACAGACTAATGAGCCAACACAGCATCTATGTCCAAGCAATCAACTACCCCACAGTCCCCCGTGGAGAAGAGCTGCTACGTATTGCCCCTACACCTCACCATACCCCTCAGATGATGAGTTATTTTCTTGGTGAGTGGTGCAGTGGAAACTCTGGGCTGTCTATGCATTCTCAATCCTAAAGACCAGGAAACAGTTCAAATTTAAATTGTATCAGCTGGGCGATGTCTTTCCACTGCTGCAGCATACGTAGCACACTTTTGTCCTTAACTGGCTTTGAGCATGACCTGTGAAAGCCAGCATGCTGTGACCTAGAACAGTGCAGTCCTACATACAGCTGGTTCTATCCCAGCCATTTCTGGGGATCTGGTTGCATTGTCCAAACTGATCTTTACTTGTTAGGAGGGGGAGGGGTGTCCAGAGAAATCTGCTGTGCTCAGCTGAGCTTTTAACATGTCTTAAACACTGATCTTTATGGGGAAGCAGTTAGTCTTGTATCCTGTCAGAAGAGGTAGTATGAGCATAGATTTTTAAGGTTAAGGCTTTACTGCGGTCCAGTCACATTGTCAGACAAGTCCTGCAGTTTTCTTTGCTAGGAGAATAGGTATGCTGACACTTCTATTGTGCTGCTTCTCTAAAGTGCTTTGTTATGTGACTTGAACTTCTCTGTTTATAACAGAAAAACTGCTGGCTACGTGGAAGGATGTTGGTCTGGAGCTAAAACCACACTCATCAGCTGAATGTAACTTCTGTAGAAGACCTCTGCATTTTGAAGTGATGAGTGAACGGGAAAGATCTTACTTCAGTGGAATGAGCAAACTCGTATCTGTCAGTGCATGAAAGTAATGGTGTTAATCTTACTCTCATCTAGTTCTAGTACCCAGTCAGTAGCATTTTTAAATTGCTTATAAGCATTTTAATCATAGTTAAAGCACTAAGCTCTGAAAATAAATTTCTAGAGCCACTGTTTGGTTGTATTCTTATTTTTCATATTCAGCTTCCATAAGATGAATTGTCATCGGTTAGAAGGGCATCCCCTGGAATAAAAAGTGATCTACACTGACCTTCATCTGAAGTACTGCCTTCTCAACAAGTGCAAACCAAACCTTTCAGTAGCATTTCCTTGTGTAGTGCAAGGGATGAGTTCTTCTATAGGCTTATAGGTACTTAAAGCTCCTCAGGAACTTCTCCCTTAAATTTGTTAAGCCTATGTCTAAGCTCCCTGCTTCTCCATTGGGTTTTGTGAGCATATAGCCCTGTGGTACACTCCAAGAACATCCTAATTCTATCTGGGAGTGGTGTAAAGCACTATGCCTTATCCCTGGGCTGTTGTTTTAGGCAGTCCCAGGGCATCTTACATACTGGGAGGTGTTTAACCCATATCAGTACAAACAAAGGTCACATAGTGCTACTGAAACTGAGACAGGCTGTTCTTAACCACTCCTATGAGCTATAGAAGGGTGCAACGCTCACAACAGTTCTGGCACCACATGGGTGCTACTGGCCTTGCCCCCCCAGGGGCCAGAGGGAGCAGAACAGCCTGTGCAAGGTGGGTGGGGAAGCAGGTCTAGTGTTTGCCAAGGCAGCTACAGGCAGCAAGCAGAAATCAGCTGTCAATAGCCCAAGAATTAATACATTTTAGGTTTTAGGTGCTTAGGTTTTGCAGTCAGCCAAGCCTCTAGAGGCTGGCCCAGAGCTCTAGACAGAACTTTAAAGCTAGCAGAGGTGTTGATGCAGTATTATGCATGTATCTAACTTAGTATGTTCTCCCTGAAGATACACTGCAGTATGAGCAGGAGAGCATTTAGAAAGGGCTGTGCTAGCCTCCCTCTGCTGCTTTACTCTTGGTTGGCTGTGTGCGTGGTAGTCTCACACAGGTGCTCCCACTTGAGTGCTCAGCAGGGTACTTCTTTGTACCTGAGAAGCATTCTGTTGTTTCAAGAGGAAAATTGCCAGTGAGATTTAGTAAGTGGTACTTTGTGACTGCTTGACACGGCTGTTTTTTTCCTTTAAAAAAATAAAGACTGTAATATCCTTGGAAGGGAGGGCCTGTATACCATAGTATGGCTGGGAGGTGCAAGGTTGCTTGTGGTTGCCCAAGTTCTTGCCCAAGTTCACTCCAGCTGCATGTTCTACTTTCATATGTGCCCCAGGATAGCCTTCAGTGGAAAAGCTGCTTATCAGCAAACAATTCCTAATAATTCAGGTCTTTGAGAGAAGCAGCTTGTAATAGAATATCAATGCGGCTTTTGCAACCTCTGACAATTTGCATGTCAATTAGGTAACAGGCCTGTGTAATGCTTTCATGAATAGCAAGTGCATACTTCAATTAGGGAGTAGTTCCAGGTATGTATGTAGCAGTAGGGGTGAATACATGTATTGAGAGGACACTACTGTCATGCAGTCTACAGCAGAGCACAGCACTGCTTTCTTCATGCAGTGGTATGTTCTTTAACTGCTACAGGCAAGTTTTCGCCAGTTACTGCACAACTCTTGCTTTTCAGGAGGTAACAAGCCCCCCCTGCACTGGCTATTGCTGTTATTATTGCTGTTAATGTTGCAGCAATATTGCTGTAATATTACAAAGCCACTTTTGGGAGTTAGACTGTAGTCAATCTGAAGACATCACCTCCACCCATTGGCAATCACCACTATTTTAAGTATATACTGAAGGACACTGCATTTCCTGAAAGAATTCCTTTCAAAAGACTTAGATTCCTAAGTCAATCAGATCCATTTAAAAAGTCATTTACAAGCCAGGCAAGTGCCTACTGCCTCTGCCTGGTGCGGTGTCCTGCGGAAGGGCAGGAACTACCTGACCTCAGGCACTAGGATTAATATGGCAAGTTAGGTCTACTGCTAAACAAGGCAGTTGATAAAGTAGCTTGCTAAAGCCCACCCCCGATTATGGTGTACGCAAGCAGTTTCTTTGCTGCTCTGAAGGGATTAGCTTTCACTTGCTGTGACATTAACCTGATCTTACTAAGGCATGCTGCAGAGCTACTTGAAAGAAAATGTAGTGCCCCACCCTGGTTTCCTTGCATTGCAACAAGCAGCTTTCGGCTAAGACTTCATGAATGTGCAGCTCCATTGCACATCTCCTCTCGTTAGATACTAAGTTGTATTAGTAACTTGAGACATAGCTATAGAGCTGCAGGTCCTTCAAGATCCTTTATCATCCTTTCCTCGACGAGTGTCCTAATGTCATAATGCACCTTTGATGTTTGGAGCTGGTAGTGTAAGCAATCTGGATGGGGAGGTGTTGACTAATCTATAGCCACAAGCCAAAAGTAAAAGGTTACTTGCATTTCTAGTTTCTTCACTGATAGCACTCAAACTTGGAGCAACACATTTTGTATGCCAGCTAATAGAGCTGATTTTTTCCTTCTAGTTCTCATAGCAGGTTCTCCACACTCCTTCATGGTGCAGGGGAGAAGAAATAAGACAGAGAGGGCTCCAGCTATCAGAAATCTCAAACGCAATTCCAAATTAGTTGCAGGTGGGAATGGAATCCCGAGGCTCAGAACTAGCATTGGTTGCAGTGGCAGGAGCACGATGAGCATCAGCACATGGTAGTCAGTCCCTGTGTACCCATTCACATCCCATGTGGTAACATCTTCTAGTGCTGCTAAGCAAGGGTGTGAAGGTAGAAGTGGAGTGCAGTAAGAGCCTGGCAGAGATGTTCAACACAACTGCGAAGAGTGACAGAGCCAACGGCACACAGGACATATTTTCTCCATTGAAAAGGACAAAGAATGAATAAACAAACACATATTGTTTCCCAGCAAACAAAGCTTGAATGGTGGGTTGCATAACTAGTGATGGTTACGTAAGCACTAGTTTGGCTTCTGGAACATAACTGGTCAAAGATGTTCATAAAGTTGGGGACAAATCGTCCATAGCCCTGACAGAGTAAGCAAGGAAGAACACAGCTGTAAAGACTGCTAAGATTTGTCTGGGAACCCACAGGGGCAAATAATTCATCCAGTTGTGTGTTGCACAGCCTTAATCTCATATCCTTTATTTCTCAACCTATTTACATAAGAGAGAAACTCCAGGCAGTGTAATGCAGTAAAACATCCTGAATGCAAACAAAAGCACCCTCCACTGAGGCAGTGGTCGGGCCAGCAGGCCCCGACATCCTCGGCCACCTCCTCCAGGGCTGCTGCACAGTCCCAGTGCTCCCACCACCCCCAGCCTCTGCTGTGCCATGCTCTGGCTGGTCCCAAAGCCCCTCGCTGAGCGTGCAGCATGGAGCTCTCATTGCTCATAAAGCTCTGGGGGCCTTGGCTGCCTGCCCAGCCTCCAGCTGCGTGCTGTGGGCGACGATAACCAGCAGGTTCAGCGCTGAAGGAGGGAACCAGCCTCACAAGCTCACCAACCTCACGCCTTCAGGGAACTGGGCTAAAACCAGCCCCTTGAATCCCGCATGATGAAAACCCAACGCATTTCCTAGGCCCGGAGGTAGTCCCTCTGGTGGGGAGGAGATGCTTGGTGCAGCCCTAATGCAGCCCCCTCCAAGGCACCCCACCAGCAGGTGCCTACCTGGCCAGCACAGCTGGTCCTGAGCTGCTGCCCCGAGGCACAAGCACCACGGGGCAGAGTCCCCACAAGGCTTTCCAGCCATGCCATTGTCCTTGTGTCACTGCTGGTGGTCATTTGTGCTGCTGGATGCTGGTTGGGCCACCTGAGCAGGAGCAGCCCTTGCCTGGGCATTGAGGCAGGAATAATAATAGTAATAATAGCATTATTAATGCCGCCAGATCCACACCTCTCTCATATCCCTGCTGCCCTGCAGACACGTATTTTGGGGGCACGTCTTTTGCTGTGGTGAACGAGGTGATGAAGAAGGCTTTTCTCCCAGCACAGACAGGCCCACAAAGAGCTCAGTGGGTGCTCCTGAGGGCCTGGCCTGCCCACTTCTGTATTCACAGGGGCAGCTCTCAGCTACACGTCAGTAGGGGGTTGGTGCTGTTCAATATCTTTATTATCGGTGTCACAAGGAGCGGCCAGCAGGGGAGGGAGGTGATTGTCCCCCTCTGCTCTGTCCTCCTGAGGCCCCACCTGCAGTGCTGCGTCCAGGCCTGGGGCCCCCAGCACGAGAAGGATGTGGGGCTGTTAGAGCGGGTCCAGAGGAGGGCCACAAAGCTGATCAGAGGCTGGATCAGCTCTCCTGTGAAGAAAGGCTGAGAGAGCCGGGGATGTGCAGTCAGGAGAAGAGGAGCCTCCGGGGTGACCTCATATCACTTCCTGATACAAGGGCAAACGTGGGGCCTCCGGCAGCCCCCAAAAAGTGGCAGGGCAGCAGGCTGTTTTAAAAATACTTTATTCTTTAGAAAATACAGCGTTCAGTACAGTATGCTCTGCTCCCCCCAGGCTTCACATCCCACCTTGCCAGGGCACCCCGGCTCCTGCAGCCAGCACCCCAACGTGGTCAAGGCAACGTCGGCACATTCACCGGCGAGCAGGGAAGGGCAGGGGGCACAGCCCCGGTGTTTCCAGCACCTGGAGAGCGCAGGGGGGAAGGCAGGCAGCTCTTGAGACCTCACTAGGACCCAGCAGCAAGGCACGCTCCCCTCACAAAATCCCCTCACGAAGCCAAAGCTGCAGCACTGACCTCAGCCCTTGGTGGCCAGGGACGTGCAGCGTGCCCTAACCCAGCAAGGAAGGGGAGAGGGGACAGCCCCCGGGCTGGGCAGAGCTGCTGAGGGATGTGCCAGGGCTGCCAGCCTTCCCCCCGCCAGGATTTGGGGTAGCCCACAGAATTTTTAAGATAGGCTCAGGGCTTTATCCCACCTCCCCCCGTTTCCTTGCAGTTGTCCATCCATCCCACAGGTGCCAGGACCAGAAGTTTCTCCCAGGAATGACAAAACTGAGGATCAGGGCAGAGTCAGGCCAGCCCCAGCCCCTGCTGCTGGCTCGTGATCACACCACAAACACCAAGACCACCCCCCCATGCCAGTAAAACACAGGGAGGCGGATGAAGCAAATGGGGGAGGCTGAAGAACAAGGAGATGGTGCAGGTTGCAGGGATGCCACGGAATCAGAGCCGGCCCCCACCCTTTACCCAGCCTGGGCAGTAGGGTCAGGGCTGAGGCCAGGCTGTAACAGCCCCCTCCAAGGGAAAAGAATTTATCTGGGTTGGGTCATAAAGGGATCCAAACACTGCCAAAAGGCAGAGTAACCCTGCTCCAGGGTCAAGTTGACCTCAAACTCATGGAAGACCTTCCACCTTACCCTTTTCCACCTAAAGAGAGTGATCAGAAGGGGAAGCAGAGCCAGGTGCTGCCCTTCCTCCTCCCCTGCCCACCATCTGCATGCATGGCTGTGAAAAACAGGCTTTAAAACCTGCCTCTCTCTGTCCTGCCAGCACCGAGGACCAAGCTCAGACCTGAGGGGCTTCACAGCCACCCCGGCATGGGAGGCACTGGGGAGCTGGAGCAGGGCTGAAGAGCAGCACAGGGTGGCTGAGGGGGGCAGCTTCCTCTGGGGGAGCCACCAAGGCAGCCACAAGCAGCATCAAGAGTGGGGCAGCTGGAAAACAAAAGCTGGTGCTTGGTTTCCAGTGCTCTGGCCACAAGGGCTGCTCCGTATGACATCAGGGAAGGAAAGAGGAAGGGAAGAGACATCTGCACTGCCTGAAATTCAAATTCCGATACAACACAGGCTGGCTCTGATAAGAGACAAACTCTCCTTCCAGACGCTGAGGCCACAGCAGCGAAGCCCACCCTGGAGGCATGGGGGCTTGGCTGCAGCCTGGCAGGGCCTGGATGGCCGCAGGACTTGCATAGCAGGACTGCGCACACAGCCGTGGTGAGCAAAGTCTGTAGGAAGGGGGAGCAGGGAAAGAAGCATTTCACGTTTTCAGCTACCAAGTCAATGCCAGATGTCACCTCCTTCCTTTGCATAGAGCAGCTCGCAGGTGAGTGAGTCCTTCACTTGGCGCAGGTAAACCAGGGGGAAAGCAAGAGCAGCAGCTGTGATCCCAGGTGGGACCAGAGCAGGCTGGGGACATGGTCCCTGCTGCTCCTATCCTCCTCCAGCTGCCCCAGGGCTTGCACAAGGACAGGGGGAAAGCAACACAAACACCTAGAACCTGCCCCCTCCCCACTGCTCTACCCTCGAGTGAAACAGCCCGTCCTGATGCTCAAAAAGGAATGAGAAAGGAAAAAGGGGGCGAGGGGGAAGGCTGAGATGGGGGGAAAGATCCCCAGGTCAGCAGAAAGGCCTGGAAGCGGAGAGGTGGAAGCCGGGAAATGCCATAGGGATGCTGTCCGTTCACTGCCCGGTCCTGCCCCGTCCACATCTAACTGTCTTCGCCGTTCTCTCCCGGGCCTTTGATCAGCCGCTTCTGTCCCCGTTTCCCCACGGGCCCCTTGGGCTTGGCGAAGGCCTGCTTGAAGGCGTGCTGCTTGGGGTGCACCTCGTCATAGAGGAACTCGGCCGTCAGCTCAGCTCCGTCATCGATCTCAATCTGCACACAGCAACAGAGCGTTAGCGGCCCCCGAGCCTTCCCCACCATCTCAGTTACCTAGGCTGGAGGAGGCCTTGAAGGTCACCAAGTCCAGCCACTGGCTGACCTACAAAGTCCCTTAAAGTCCCTTCGTGCCATGCCCACGTGTCTCTTGAATATCTCCTGGGATGGGGACTCCACCTCCACTCTGGGCAGACCCTTCCAGTGCTCCATCACCCTCTCCTCCCCTCCCCTGCCTTGAGGGCACCAAAAAGCTGCTCCCCTCAGGGCCAAACAAAATCCTCTCTGAGTTCATTGATGGTCTGGGCACAGAGGGCAGAAGTGAAGGGGGCCTCCCTCTGCACTGAGAAGTGCCATGGCCCTGCGAGAGAAAGGGTTTGGGTCATCTCACTCTCCCAAACCTCTTGGGCCAGGGAAATCCATCCTCTCCCGCTGGGTAAGGGCCTCAGACCACAGACACTGGGACACCTATCAGGGCTGGGTTGCACAGGTCAGCGCAAGACTGTTCCTCTTTTTCTCCAGCCCTTTGTCCAAGCCACTTTGAAACAACTCTAGTGACACTCGAGGCTTCCCAGACTTCTCAGAAAGAGGCCCCAGTCAAAGCCATGGGTAATGCTGCCACCTGGACACGCCTTTGATTTGGTTGCAGCATGTTCCCCTGCAATAGTTCCTCAGCCACCTCCAGGTGGCTCAGACTTACCTTCTTTGCTATCTCCAGACAAAAATCTTGCTCCACAGTGTCAAGCAACCGGCTCTTGCAGCTGGAGTAGAGCATGCGCTCCTTGATGCTGCACTTGTACCCAGGCATGGAGTAGATAAACACTGAAAGAGAGAGGAGGGGGGCTCACGGCGCTGCCCAGGCTCACAGCCAAGGAGCAGCCAGATCCCCGTTAGAGATTACAGCAGGGCAGGGACCAGTACAGCCTGAAAGAGGAGCAGGGGAGCCGTGACTCACCGACAGACTCCAGGTAGTCTCCCTCATGCGAGTGCTTGTAGAGGAAGAAATGGTAGCGAGCTGAGTCCTGGGGGATCCTCTTGGGCAGGTCAGCTATCTCTGTGGGGCTTGTGTGCACCAGGTCAATGGTCTCCCGCTCCAGATCCAGCTTCTGGGTTGATAAAAGGGGATGGGGAGCAAGATGCTGCGGCAAGGAGCGCTCAGAGTGGGTAGGAAGAGAGGCAGCAGGGACTTACCAGCTGGATGTAGTTGATTTTCTTCTGCTTTAGTGCCTGGATAGCCTGCTGCGCGTCCGGCTGCAGGGGGAAGGCCAGGCCCTGCAGGGTCTGGTGCTTGCTCTCCACGCTGATCTCTGTCTTCACCTGGGGACAGAAACAACCCCGTGTGTCAGGGCAGGGATGGGCAGGGTGGCACAGGCCACTGGTGCGTGCCGGGTGAGCCCAGACACCTGCATCTGCCCCACGGTGCAGCAGTGGCCCTGTGCTTGCCTCTGCTGGGGCCACGGAGGTGGAGGCACAGAGTACAACAAAAACCTGCCCGCGCTGGGGCTGGGAGCATCCCTACCCTCCCACGGAAGGGATCCTGGGGGCAGGACCGCCCTGCCAACCTGTGGTGCCTGACCCAGAGCTGCCTGCAAATACACAGGCTTGGCTGGGAGCAGATGAGATGAGCAAAGCTCCCAAGCAGAGGTGATGCTTGGGAATGCAGCACTAAGATTTAGGAGGTTGGGCAGCCTCAGGGCTGCGGTGCTTCTCGGAGTGTGGAAATCACCTGGAGCCTGCCCCCAGGCACTCCAGAGCCCCCCAGCTCTGCCCTCTCCCCCTGCACAATTACTCCTAGCACAGAGCACCTCGACCAGCCCCCAGCATCACCAGGGCTTCCCAGCACCAGGCTGTGTGCAGCGAATTCCCAGCAGGGGACAGGGAGGGGGTGCTGTAACCAACCCCACTGCATGTTCCTCTCATCCTTTCCAGCTGCAACGTGTGTGCCAGGAGGGCAGGGAGCCCTGAAATCACAGCGTTCGGCTTTGTGCGTCCTGAGCTACCCGTGCTGGGATTAATGGCTGCAGGCAGGTGTCCCCTGCTCCCAGCGGAGCGGGGATTTAGAACCCCGCAGCCCAGACAGGTCCCCTTTTTCACGCCAATCCCTGGCAAGCAGAGGCTGCAGCCCTGCTTTGCAGACCCCCTTTCCAGAAAACCGAACCCTCCGCAGAGAGGAAGAGACCCGGAGCGGCTGCATCACCCCAGGCACCTCCACCCTGAGCAGGGCTGCCACGGCCGGGCGATGCGAGGGAGCGGGGAGCAAGGCGCAGCAGGCACGGCGTACCTCATCGGGGCCGGGGTACTCTACCAGCGATGGGCAGCAGCAACAGCCCCCTACCATCTGCCACAGAATACAGGGAGACGGAGTCACACCGAGGGCAGGGGAACTCTTCCCACCCAGCCCCAGGCAAGCAATTTGCCCCAGGGGCAAGCGGCCGGGCAAGCGCTGACCTGGATGCTTGGCGGTGAGTGGGAGTTGGTTTCATTTTGGGAGCAGTTCAGGGGATTTTGTGCAAAGACGGAAAAAGTTTTGTTTTTTTTTGATGGAGATAAGGAAGAAAAAAAATCAGAACATGCCAAGACAAATTCAGAAGACAGAAAGAGTCTCAAATACAGCTCGGAGACAGCCAGGGAAGTTTGGCATGTGAGGTCTGGCTAGCACCAGATGGTGCTCGGGGCATGTGCAAGAGCTGCACTTGGTGCAGAGCTCCCCACGCTGGCTCCTTCCCCCAGTGTTGCAGGGTTGCTGCTCACCAAGCTGTCACAGCAGCCCCGGCAGGACCAGAGCTCTGGGGAGGTGGTGCCAGGTGCCTGGGTGCATGCTGAGCCCACCCAACCCAGGTGGGCACCCATCACCCTCTTGAAGTATCAAAAAAAACAACACAAGAGGGATACGATCCCCGCTTCTATCCCCGGCTTTTATCCCAGTTCAACACTTTGTCACCAGGTCCCTTGGGGATGGTTTTGGGAGCCTGGTGGCAATCCTGAGGGAGCGAGCGAGGGGCTCGGCTCACCGGGATGGAGGGAGGAGAGGATACAGGGTACAGGGAGTGGGGCATGCAGGAGAACAGAGCAGCGAGCAGGCAGAGCAGCCTACCACCTCCGTGCTCGAGTCCTGGGAGCAGGAGCCCTGCGAGCGTGGGGAGAGGAGACACCGTCAACAGCACCCCAGGCGGGGACAGGCCGGGGGAGCTCGTTCGAAACGAGGAGGGGGAAAGGAACATGCTGGGAGGGTGGAGGCCTACCATGTCTCTGCTGGCAGCCAGGGAAGGCAGGTCCTGGGTGCAGGCGTGAAGAGCGACAAAAATGACACAGCAGACGTCAGCAGCGGGGAGGGATGGAAGGGAGAATCCCCTAGCACGGTGTCCCCATCCCTCACTGCTAGGCACACTCGTAGCCAGCACCTGCAGGGACATCTCCACCCCTGCCCTACCTCCTGAGCAGCCAGGGCGGCCCCAGGTGGTCCCAGCTCAGGACGTGGAGATGAAGGAGTTGCAGGAACAGAGCTGGGGCTGTCCCCCTCCACACAGCGTTCTGGGTGAGAGTGAACAGGAGAACACCAAAGGTCTGGGAGAACAAAATGCCCAAGCTCCTTTCCAAGCTAAGCGCCTCGGAGGATAAGCAGGGAGGTAGCTGGGTGTAAGCACACAGCTCTTGGGGGATAATTACTCAAGGGTTGAGCGGTGAGGGCAAGCAGGAGGTCTGGTTGGCCCCCGAGCTCTGCTTTCTCCAGCCCTGAGGACGCCACAGGCATCAGCAAAGGACCAAAGGCAGGGCCAGCGCACAGGCTCACCTTGTCCCACCCTGCAGAGATGCGTGGCACCTGGGATTTACCACTGCCAACACCCCCAGACCTTCCTGCTTCTCCCTGATAAACACCTTGGAAATTAAACGAGGCTGGGAGGACGAGCAGGACTGAAGGGTGAACGCTTCAACACTAAGCACGCTCAAGTCAGAAAACCCCAAGGGGCTGAGGGTTGTCCTAGAAACGTTAACTCTGCCACACGCCTTCGCCATAGCATTCTCTGCTCCTGCCCCTTTTTAAAGCCACAAGCATCGGGGCCAGGCTCACCTAAACCCTCCTCACTGCCACAGCCCAGGGTGTGCACAGGGATGGCTGAGGGCGCGCTGCACCCACCCGCCCAGCTCCAGCCCGGCCATCAGTGGCACCCTCAGGCTGTGGGGTTAGCTGGGGGTCATTTCACCTCCTTTTCTGAAGGTTTTTTTCTCCTCCCACCCCCCCTTTTGTTTGTTTCTTTCTTTCTTGATCTCCTTCCAACAAGGGCTGCTGTCTGCGTGCTCATCAGCACTCGATAAACCTGGCTCCTGGAAGCCTCTGAGCGCCTCTAGAAAGACTTCCACCTGTGGCTATTCAGATTTCTCAACCTCAATTCAAAAGCCACAGGCTGCTGACAGCTTCCAGCTCAGGAATGATGCATTTTGTGACTGTTTAAAACTAAATAAACAAACCCAAAGCAAACAGCACACTCCTGAGACCCCCCCACCGTACTTCACCCAGCGACCGAGGAGGAGGAGAGCTTCACAACAGCACCTCTTTCTCTGCAGTTTTCAAACCACAGGAGCAGCCCACATCACAGGTGAAAGCTCACAGGGCTTTTTGCTTTACAGAAGGCTGTGCAGCTTCCTGCGAGGGCCAAGCTCTGCTTGCAGAGGTGCGCTCTGGTTCAATTCCTTCCTCTCTCGGTGTACAAGGCTGCTGAGCTGGCACTGAAGCCGCTGTCACGCAGCCGCCACCTCCACCCTCCTGCTTTGCTGCTGCCTTTTGCCTCCCACTGCCGTTTGTGGGATCCCAGAGAGCTTCAGTGAGCCCAGAAATACGGGTGCCTTTGGGGTGAAAACTGGAAAAGTGGCCGGCACCTTGGGCAGGTGTTAGTCACGAGGGTTAGAGACCAGCGATGAAAAATGCACCTGAAAAATGCACCAACAGCAGGACTCCAGGCAAGGAGGAACAACATGCACAGCAAAGCACTTGCAAACAGGTGGCTTTAAAGAAACAGTGTCCCTTGTGTCACTGCCAAAATCCTGATTGATTGATTGATTTGTCAGACTCAGGGGTACGTGCAGGGTGTGGGGTTCAGCAAGGGAAGGGAGGAAAGCGGGTTCCCGAGCGCTGCTGTGCTGCAGAGTAAATGCAAACCAGCAGCACAGCACTTGAGCTGCACATGTGGTCACTGCAGCCCCCCGTCCAGGGGCCCTCGTGCAGCAGCACGATTGGGGTTTTGCACAGGGACAGCCTGCTGACACCCTGCTTCGGGAGCACCGCACACATCCACGCAAGGCACCACAGAAAGGGATGCTGCAGGCTGCAAGCTGCTGACATAGCCCCTCCTCTGCATCGCCCTGCTCCAGAAACTGGCTGTAAATTGAAATTATTGTGGAGTCAGGAGTTCTCTGCCACCCTGGGGAAGCGAGCATGGCACTGGGCCACGGAGCAGTAGCTCCCAGGAACTCCTGCTAGGGGCGAAGGGACAAGCAGGGGCAGCACCAACACACAGACTTCAGCGACCTGAGCATCCAGGTGCTTTGCACCCTTAAATTCACAGGCAAAATATTGGTTTTCCCTCTCTTTCTAGACGCAGATGCCCACGCCCTGCGGTGCAGGCTTACACAGGGGACAGCGTACCTTTAAAACGAAACCCAACCAAACAAAACTTCAGCAGCTCATTCACTCAGGAGCCACTTCTTGCAATCATGAGGGTGGGAAGCAGAGCAGAGCAGATCAAGCACAAAAAAAAAAAAAAAAAAAAAAGCACCATGAGCAACACTTACCTGGGCCACTTTACCCTGCAAGACACAGCCAAGAAAAAGCGCTTAATCCTACAATATTGGCAAGCTGAGAAGCTGGCACAAGTGAGACCGTAGAAGCCCAAAGGAGACACAAAACAAATGATAGAGTCCAGAGCTGCTATCTCAAAGCACCAGCATCTCTCTTTCCTTCAAACATGGGAAGCACCTCGGATCCTCCGGCACAAATCTGCCCATCCCCTGCAGGATGGGAGCTGGGACGACAACACCAACCCACAGCTTGTGGGGTCTCCCAAAAACCACTCATCTCGTCTGCCACAGCACCACACCAGCAGCTGTGGCTGTCACGCCACAGGACAACAAACCCCACTGCTCTCCAGGCTCACAGGGAAAAGAGGTTTTAGACATCATACAAGGAAGAAGGATGCAATTCTTGCCCTTTCGTGCAAAAAGAGGGCCAGAACCTGGTTAGACCCTTCCCAGTTTGTAAGGGAAAGCATGAGTGGGGAGGGGAGGACCAACAACAGCACTGCACTGGGGGAGGCACTGGCCACAGATCTGCTCAGGCAGTTGGGGTTCTCCCTCCTTGTCCTTGCCACCCCCATCACAATGCTGGGCTCTGTGTCTCCCAGGCTTATCCCGATCCACCTGCAAGCTCCAAAGACCCAGCACAGGAGGAAGAGAGGCATGCTCTTTCCACAACATCCCAGTGAAATTCTGCTCCCCCAAAACACAGCTTCTAGGTGGCCTTCCCACCCCACGAACAGTCCCAGTGCTTCCACAGCACCACGAAGAGGTTGGCACGGGTGTCTCACAGCACTGGCTGTTAAACCAACGCAGTGTTAAAGATGTGCCTGGCCCCCATCCTGCCCTGTGCTGCTTCCACATCTCCTTCCAGCACAAAAAACACAAAAAAATGTAGGTTAAGACCTCTGCCCTTTGGGCTGCATCCCTTGTATTTGTAGTCCCAGAGGAAGAATATGGGCAAATGCACCTCTGCAGCCAAAAGATGAGCCAGAATTCTTCCTGATTTCCCCCCAAATTCACATTCAACTCCGGGTTTTGCCCCAATACCTAAAGACTAGATAACACTGCCTGCTTTCAGCCTTCAAACCGTCTTCTAATTGCCAACTGCAGCAAGCAAAGCAGGTATCTGAGCTTGTGTCCTAGTGAGGAAAAAGTCTGGAAATTCCTCTTTACACCATCAAATTGAGCACGAGACCACACAGACACTTGGTCCACTTCGGCAAGTTCAGGGACAGGCTAAAGAGCACGGGTGTGAGAAAGCTTTGTAAGAAAGAGCCACCTCCGTAGCCCCAGGCTCAGTCCAGACACGCTCACCCCTGGGCCCCCGGGAAGCCCAACACCGCGGAGCGGGGCCAGGAGGACGCGCACCTCGTTGATGCGGATCTGCTGGAGCTCCTGTTCGGCTGCAGTCAGCGGGGCGGGCGCGGAGCAGGAGGAGACGTGCTTCTGGTAGCCGCTCAGGGACACGTCCTCCTGCAGGCAGACAGGAAGGGAAGCATTAGGGGTGGTCGCTGCCACGCAGCGGGCAGGGCAGGGCTGGATGTGACCCCAGCCCCGATGGCGTGTCGGAGCTCCTGAGCCTGTCTCTGGCATTCTCCTTGCTGAGGTGTAAGGTCAGTCTGAGTTATGCTCGCAGACACCTCCCTGCAAATCCCACGTTTGATTTAAGCTCTGCCTGTTCGTGCCACCCCACCCTGCTCTGGATGCCTGCAGCACACCTGTGACCTTGGCTGCAGCAGCGTGGCCTCTCTGGACGATGAGCAAAGCTCATCAGCACAAAAGCAAGAAGGGAAGACAGAGATCACAGCCTGAGTGCAGAGAGGGGCAGGGGAGCAGGGTAGCAGCAGCTGGAGATGCTCAATGGTTCCCATCAGTACCAGTGCAGGTACCCTAAGACCTAGAAAAGGTCTGATGTCTTGGAAGCCCTTAAAATGTAGTTCCTTCTGCACAAAGCCTATGAAAATGGGAGGAGAACCTCCCACCAACTGCTGCCAGACAGAGAAGTGCAGTCACAGCCTTCTGCTGGAGTGACGCTGCTGCTGCGTGGTACTTCTTTTCTCTCTAAACATAAAGGGTTGGACCTCTCTAGAGCCTTCCTCCCACCTCTTTCACAATCACAGCCAACCTTGCCACCTCTGCAGCCTCTCCATGCCTGAACAGGCAACCCCTTGTCACACAAAGTGGCAGCAAACTTCCAGGAGACCAAAGCAGCAGGGGCAAAACCTCAGCGCTGCCCTCCCCAAATGCCAGCACCCCATGTCCCAGCTGACTTCAGCACTGAGTAGGCTCCTGAAGCTCAGTTTTTACCCCAACAGGCTTGAGAGGGGAGTGTGACTTTGCATGAACCATGTCTGTACCTTAACTGTTCCAAACATCTCGTCCTTTATGTGCCCCCCTCCAAATTCCTTCTTCACTGTTGCTCTGGTGGCGGCATACAACATCTTCAGCCTGACCTGTGCAAAGAGGGAGAGAGCAAACACGGTCAGAGGGAGGTGGTGGGACTGGAAAGCATCACCTTCATCCAAGAGGCACCCGATGTGCTCAGCCTCCCCCCTGCCCAGCGATGGCTGCAGCACTGCCTTCCCAAAGTTTAGCCTGCCTGGTTACAATCTCAGCTCCAGGAGCTCTGGAAACAACCTCACCTCCGTGCTTGTTGTTTCACGTTCGTTAACCGTGGGCTATTCTAGTTACATACACACACAAAACCAGAACCAACGCAGAGAATCCAAGTTCTCCCTTGGAGCAGAAACCTCTCAGTAGCTACCTGCACCATGGAAAACTGTACTACAAACCACCTGGAAACAACCTCCTGGCTTCTACCTAAGCCTCATTTCTAACTGCAGCATCTCCAGCTCCAGGGGATTGCTCCAAGTACAGAGTGGGCACAGGGCCACCAGGAAAACTATCAGCTCTGCTTCTGCGGCTGCGCAGGTATGCACACACATGCCACAGCCCCGATAAGCTCTGGCCTCAGTCCACAACCCGCTGGTTTATTCTGTTCTTTGCTTTCTTATCACAGAGCTCTGGAACATCAGTCACAACGTTCTTCATGGCACCTGAGTGAAAGAAGGTGCAAATAGTGCTGGAGTCCCTTAAAAGCAGACAGACACCCTGTTGAAGGGTGTCGTGTGGTTCAGCCAGCGCTTCTACAAGGAACAAAGCTCCTGAGGATACATTGGACACGTTGCCCTGGAACACAGCTGGAAAATCCCACCTGTGAACCAACAACCAGTGATGAACTATGAGAGAATGGCACTGAGGGGTTTGGTTTTGTTGTTGTTGGGTTGACATAAGGGAACGCACATTACAAATGAAAACTTCCTGCTGACAAAGAAAAATGCTGATTCCATCCACCAGCACTTCTGCAAAACCCTGCTCAGGGAAGAACATTTGCAAGCACTCCTCAGTTCCTCTGCAATGAGTCCCTCCACATTTTGTCAAATACCTGCCCAATGATCGTGGCTGTCAACGCAGCAGGGCAATTTTGTGCTTGCTGGAAGCCCATCAGGGAGATGCACTCAGCAAAACAGTGCTTTCCAAACCATAAACCATGCTTCTGAAGTGCCCTACGAGAGCATCCAATGCAACTCTGTCCTTTTGCACCATCTTTCCAGTGCTGCCTTAAGGTGTCACCCTCCTGACAAGGGCAAACAAGCAAACTCTCTCTCATGGTAGCTTCCAGACCGTGAGAGGCCCTAGGGACACTGCCACACCCTGCAGGAACACCACCAACAGCTCAAGAGCCAGCAGGTGTCGTTGCTGCCCTGCAGTTAGGCACCTCGAAGGGAAGCGGCCACTCACGGCCTGTTTAAGGGTGGTTTTTGGGACAGCCCAGTTCCAAGGCACAGCCAAGAGCTTGGGCTGGGGAGGCGAGGGCCTGGAGGTGGGCCATGAGCTCCAGCACATCAGGTCTCGTGTCGAGGACTTGGTGCCAGGGCCTGCCCCATGAGCCAGCCCTTCCTAGTGGTGTTTTGGGACAGGGTAGAGGTGTCCCCTTCCCAGAAGGGCACCTACAACCCCCCGGGCCCAGCTGCATCATCACGCAGCACCACAAGGACAAGGAGGCGATCTTGCACATGTTAAGAAACGCTCCCATCCCCAAATTGCGTGGTCTCTGCTTCTCTTCAGCTGAGGTGCAGCGATGGAGGGCGCGAATGTTCCTCCTCAGGCTCAGCGCAAAGGCGGCTGCCTTGGCTCACACCTCCTCCACTCCTCACCTCCAGCCGTGAGCAGCTGCCCTCTGCTCCCAGAGGAGTAAGAGCCACAAATCCTCGTGCACAGGTGAGCAGAGAGCGAAGCTTACCGGGGAGTTGTCAGGGGACCAGGAGATGAAGAGCCACTCGTAGCCCTGGGCGTTCTGGCTGTCCAGGCGATACAGCACATAGCACGGCTGCTGCTCATCCAGCAAGGGCAGCACGAAGGCATCGTAGTCCATGTCCCAGCGCCGGGACAGCTCTTTGTGCGCTCCCAGAACGAGCTGCTCTGGAAGGAGAAGGAAGAAAAGACAGCGTTATGCAAAGGCCAGGCTTAGCTCACCTCCAGGGCTGCTGAACAGCTCAGCCAGGGCTGGCTGCGACTCCAGCGCTGAGAACGACCCCATTCTGCAGAGAACCAGATGAAGGAGTTGAAGCACGCACATTCCTCCTCTGTCTTCAGCTGGGCTTGGTGAGGACCTCACAAGGAACCACGTCAGGGGAGATTCTGAGTGCTGAGAAAAATAAAAATGCCCATAGCAAAAGCCAAGCAAGCTGGGAAGATGAGCCAAAGCTGAGCCAAAGTTGCTCTTACCAGATGCCCTGTAACCTAAGATATGTCAAAACCCCTGCTCTGTGAGAAAAGGAGCTTGGGGTCCCCACTGTGCCCCCCTGCAGCAGGCTGTGCTGCCAGGAGAGCCCAAGTCTCTGGAAGTGACCTACATATTTCACGCACATGGTAGCATCTCAAGTGTCCGGAGAGTATTTTTTCCCTGCTACGCAAGCATCGATGGGGCTGGAAGCAGAAAACAAGAGGACAGCAAGCTGGACAGTGTGGTGCTGGGACTTAAACGTCAGCACAGGCATCATAGAAACAAACAACAACAACAACAAACATCTGAGAGGATCAAATCAGAGAATAAAGAAAGGGTTTGCCACTCCAGTCCTGGGGTAACTTACTCCCACCCTGCAGCACCATCAGCCAGGGGTGTTTTCCTCCAGGCAGCAGTTTTCCCCCTTCCCTCCAAAACACCGCCCTGTACGGCTGTGATGATTTGTGCAGGAGGGCCAGGTGCTACTGGCAAGGGCCCTCATGGGTATAATGACAGGAACAACAACAAGTGCAACCCAAAACACACTCGCAGCAGATGTGGCCCCACCGCCTCAGAGCCAACTCCTCCACCGAGACAGCTTTCCCTGCAGGGAGCTAGCTTCTGTCTGCTCTCTCCAAAGCCTACTCACAAGAGCTCTTATAAGGCAGGAACAGCAAGTTTCTGTGTGCCTCAAGTGTAGCAGTGAAGTTTTGCACTCACTGGGGGTCTGCTCCTGGGTTGCAGGACACCCTAAACCCAAGAGTTGTTTTTAGCAAATGTTCCCCCACCTGATTTGCAGGAAAGAAAAGAGGCCTCAAGCTGCAAGACAGTTAGCAGCTCTGCCAGCCTGCACTTTTCAGCACAGAAAAGGGTATCGAAAATGCATTACCTTCAACAAAACCACCTGTTTGGAGAAAGCAAGGACAAAAAAACATAAAAACCTCAATGTACCCTTCAAAACCACAAAGCAGACATGCAAAAGGATGAGGCTTTTTGCAAAGCCCCAAGACCTAGGCTCCTAGAGACCACAATAAATTTCAACTGGCCAAACCTCCTGGCAGCTCCTAACTATTCCCATCTGCTAGGTGTCCCAGTATCCTATACACAAGGCAATCAGGCCCAATAAATTCACTGCAGGTGAATTGGGCTGTGTTCGAGCCAGATCCAGCAGGGTCCTCAAGAGCCAGCAGCATCCAGGTGTTCCCTAGGCAGAAAATGCCAAAAATGCCATAGCAGTGCCAGCAGCAGCACCCACATCCAGTCCTGCAAAATGGAGCTGGATAGATGGAAAGACTGTCTTAGCTGGCAGATTCTGGGAAACACGGAACTTATTTAGAAAATAAAAGAAAAAAAAAAAGAAGAGAAGTGTGTTTGCACTTCTGACTTCTCTCTGCAGAGCCCGCAGGACTTCCTGAATTGCATCACCTCTCCTCAAAGCCGGTGTGGGCAGGAGCTCTGAGCAGCCACGAGCAGCGGGTGATGGAGAGCAGAGAGCACCTCCAATACTGCTGAAGAAGGGGAGAGTTGTGGATCAAATCCCAAGTGCCCACCATCCCCAGGTAGCACCCTCCACAGGGCCATCCGCAGCATCACCCTTTTCAGCCTCCTTCCTTTGCTCTGTGCCTTATTCTGCTTCCTCCCACTGAGGCTCTGCAGCTCAGCTTGATCCCTTCAGGGCAAATTTCCCTCCCTAGCCCCTGCAGCAAAGGCGAACGCTGCAGCAGCCTCCCACGGCTGGCATTCCCATTAGCTTGGGAAGCGTCATAAAAGGCAAATGAAAAGCTGCAGCACTTCACCATACCAGCACTGGCAGTGATGGAGACTGTTGCCACCTCTTTCCGCAGCATCCTGGGAGCGTTGCTGACCCTCGAGAGGTGCCCAGCACTCAGCTGTACGCAGGCAGCTTTGCTCTGAAATGTCTGTGCAAAGTATTGGTCCCCACGGGGACATCACAGGAGACAGGAGTCCGCAAGAATACTGCACAGCGCTGCTTTTGTGCCAAGAACCACAAACCTGTTGGGGCAGGACCCAGCAAAGCATGTCACGAAACCCACGGACACCCCGGAGCGACTAGAGCAGACTTCCCCCACCATTTAAGGATGTTGTGGACCACAAGTCACTCTCAGGCCAGGAAAACATTGCTGAGCCTCAGCATGGAGCTGAGCTCACAGCGACGGCCCGAGATGACGCTAAGGAAGTGTCACTGCTCTGTGGGTGTTTGGCACATCCAGCTTGCATGGCCTTTAGGTCCTCGCTCAGGTCTCTCTGCACCCACTCCTGACACAATGAAGCACCCCAAATCCCCCACAGCCCTGCCCTGCAGGGCAGAGGCTCCTCTGCGCCCACGAGCAGAGCAAGAGGCTCCTCTCACACCGAGGTCACAGAGCAGAGTGGTGGCACGGAGGGGCTAAGTGACTTGTCCCCAGGTTCCCCAAACCAGCCTGGTGGGACCACCGCTGATCTGCCCCCAGCAGACCAAGCCCCTCGGGCACAGAGGTACTCGCAGCTCTCCTGCTCACCGCCAGGCAAGGCTGGCGTACGAGGCAGCTGCTGACAATGACACATCACACGGATAAATATAGCCCATTCAGCCAGAGCAGGGCTGGTGGGACGTGGTTTCCATTGATGGTAAAAAGTCTTCCTCGCTGCTGTCGTCAGCCACAACCCAAAGCCAACAGCACGAGGCCTCGCGCTCTAACTGCAGGCTGGGCTTCTGTTGTTTATCTTAACAGAACCCTGGTTCACGTTTTTTAAAAGCAAATGGTGACAAGAGAGCAAAATTGTTGAAGATGCTCCTGGCTCCCATCGATGAAGCAGATGTAGCATCCCAGCACACAGGGAAGGAGTGGTCTTGCTGAGGATGAAGCCAACACTGGTGAACTCCGTGGTGGCACTGCTGCCATGTCCCCCATGCTCCAAGCCCGGGCCACATCGCTCTTCCAGGAGGGGCTCTGCACCTCCCAGATCCTCGGAGGGCTGCTCAGGCTCCTCACAACTGCCACCCTGAGTACCATCCAGCTCCAGGCTGAAGCACAGATCGCACGCCTGCATTTTGGGGGGCATTGCTTGTTTTACTCCAGCTCCTACCATTCAGCCAGACACAAAGAGCTGAACACAGGCATGGGACACCCCTAAGCACGGTGCTGAGGCACCAGAAGGAGGCAGGGTGTAGACGTGAAGTCGGCTGCTGAACTCCAGACCGGCTGATGCCACCTTGGTCCCGATGGCCCAGCCGTAACCAGTGACAGCAGCTCACTAACCTCGGTGGGTTCCCTGCCAAACGAGTCATTCATATGTAATTGCACCAGGCTGAGGCTACAGAAAACCTACACCACCGAGGTTCCCTGCCGGGATGCTAAATCAGTGCATCGTTCCACTTGCTTATTTTGATCAATATTGAGGCCAAAGTCCCCTTTTGATGGGCAACGGGCAAGCAGGCTGGTGGCAACCTACAGCCTGCGAACTGGGCTACAGGCAGCACCGTGGCAGCAGAACAGAGCAGATGCTGGAACTGGGGGCACTGAAGAGCCCCCGCAGCTGTTCTAAAGAGCTGCAGGGAGCCTGCAAACAGGGCCAAGCACAGCCTCCTGCCCCCTTCTGCTTGCACCTGGGGCATCTGCCTGCCTGGTTTGGGATGCCACATCCAAGTAGGACGGGACAGCCGTGGGATGGGCTGCGCATTGCTCCTGAACGTCCTTGGACCCAATCCCTCATTGCAAGGGGCATGGGCTGCTCCACTGGGAGGCTGCCACCCCCTTCTCCTGTGTTTGTGCCAGCACAGCAGCCTCTCGCTGGGCTCCCCAAAACCACACACTTCAGTAAAAGCTGCCCAGCACCCAGCAGCGACTCCCTTTAGCAAGAGAAGGCACCAGCATTGAGAAGAGCTGGTCCAAAGTCAGCGGAAAGCAAAGTCACTGTTTTTCCCAAGCTTCGGCAGCACAGCAAAGCCGCTCTGGCAGAGGCTCTAAGGCTGCCGCTGCCAAGAGCTCGCTCACCAGCTCACATGGATTTTATGCTTGTATTTCACCCCAACCCCACAGCGGGCTGCAGTGTGCCAGGAAGCCCCGGCAGGATTTTGTACAGTGTTTCCAGAAATGCAAGCTCTTCTTTGGCACGTTTGACCACGGTGACAAAGAGGAAAGAAAGGAGGAGAGGCGAATTACAGAGTTGGTACGGTGTGAATCAAAGCACTTAAAAAATGGGGCTTACCGTCCTCAATGACGACCTTGATGAGCCGAACTGAACCATTTCGGGCTCTGGCAAAAAAGTCCCTTAACTCCGTGGTGGCTGAAAGAACCAGAAACATTGTGGTCAGATTTAACAGGCAAAGCTGGCGCTGCTCGTTGATGGGCTGTGGGGACAGGCAACTTGGCAGGAGAGAAACTGAAAATAATAAAAAAATTTAAAAAAAAATCACTGGTGCCAAAAGAGTTTTAATAAAACTAATGCTACAAAATCCAAACAGCTGGCCTCATCAGTGGAAGTAAAGTGCTGCGTCGCCCAGAGGCTTCGGAGTTAAATAGCAGCTGGGAGCACATGTGATCCAGATAACTTGATACTTGGCCTGGGTGAACATAATCACCCAAATTTAGATGATGGCTTGGCTGGTGCAGGCGGGCAGAGCTCAAGTGACAAGTTTATTAACTTTACAGAGCTGCGAGGTTTGCATACAGGGTGGCTGGAAGATGTCACAACAGGCACAGCTCTGATGGCCGGGGCTCACGATGCGCAGCGGGGATGCTGCTGAGCCCCGATGCCGTGCACCAGGATGGGTCCAAACCAGAGACACCAGTTTGAGATCCTCCAGCAGGTAAAGAACCTCAGGGCGCTCCCCGCTCGCAAACCTGCAGCGGCAGGCGATGGCACCCTGCAAATTTTGCTGCAGAGCCTGCAGGGCTTTGGTTATGAGGATGCTCGAAAACTCGGTGTGGAGCCACATTCCTCCTTATCCCCCTTGACTGCTGGGAAGAGACAACTTTGTTGTCCCATCAGAAGGGACCATCAGGCTCTGGCAGCAGACAGATATCTAAGTGGCAGCCCGCAGGTGTCATTACTCAACCTGGAAGCACCATGGGTTCACATCTCCCCACCCCAGCAGGGATATTCTACCTGCAGGCCCTCGGGCAAAGGCAGCGCCCAAGAGATGCAGCTCGGAGAGCAGAGCCCCAGGGAACACAGCACCTCCCAGCCCCAGAGAGTGGGAGGTCTGCAGGGATCCTGCCTGGAGAGCTGGGACTGACAGGGTTTGAACCTCACCTGGAAGCCAGGCTAAGGCAGTCAGGGGCTGCCTGTCACGCGGAGGGGCACCAGGAGGCTCACAAGGGCAGCACGTGGAAGTGCAAACAGTCCTGAGGACCCCTGGAGCCACTCACTCATTTCAGCCCCCATCAGGCTCCCCTGTGCAACCCTCTGCATTTCTCTCCAGCCAGATCCCTGCTTGCTCCTCCCACCCACCCCATATACCAGACCCTTTCACGCTGGGGCACATCTTTTTCCCCAGCCTTGCTCTCTGTGCACCCATTTTAAAGAAATGGGAATCTGCTCGGGGTGTTGATTCCAGGGCAACCTGGTTGGAAGATCCCATCCTGGGACTTGAAAGCTGCAGAGAGCTTCAACACTTACTAGAAATACTGCAGAACCAGCAATGCAAAGGTACGAGATGCTTCTCCCCAGGCAGACACCCCACTTAGGCTGCACCAGGGCCCATGCTTGGACCCAGCAGCAGCACCAAAAGGGGATATCCCACAGCTTGTATGGGCCACCAGCAGGGTGGCTGGTGCAGACTGGTTTCCCCCCTTCCTGCATGACAAATCTGAGCTGCATCTGCTTCACCAGCTCAAGAACTGTCCTGATCAGAGATCTTGAGGTTCTCCCTTCCCTTCTTCTGCACAGAGAAAAAGGCACGAATGGAACCAGCTCCCAGACTGGTGTTCTGCAAACAGCAGAGATCACACAGAAACCCAGAGATTACATCCGAACAGGACCATTTTAGAAAAACCACCCTTTCTTTCCCCCTCTGTCAGCATCAAGGGAAGCAGCTCCCCTGGTTTGCAGCACGCCTGCTCAGCCCTTTCTCTTCTCCCAGCAGCAGCTCGCTGCTCAGCCCGCTCCCACCAGTACCACCCAAGGCAGCTCGGTTATTTTTAGCCCTTTCCCTGATGAGACAGGCTGTTTCCTTCCGGCAGCATCTGTGGTTGTTGCAAATACAAGAGGTTTCTCCCAGGGCGGAAGAGGACGAGAAAGAGGTTTATACACCCAGGAAGCCTAGCACAAGAGCCCAAAGGTCCTAATAATCATTAAGCTTCACTTCTGGCACTGCCAAAAGAGGAGAAAGGGAATAACAACGTTGGCCTTTGATATTCCTACAGCATCAGCTGCTGAGAAGAGAGACAAAAGCCCTGCGGTGCTAACAGGCTTGCAAATCCCTGCAGACAGACCCACCCTTTCTAGAGGCCAGGGGCGTGCAGGGCTTGGGAAAGCCAGGAGACAGGGAAGTATACCCCTCCTGCACCTGGAAATGGTGGGACTGCCAAAACCATAGGACTGACAGGCCAGGCACTGGCACTTTCTGCACAGACAGGAGGATTTAAGCAGGTACAGGAAAAGCACGCATGCTTCCAGAGGACGCTGCGGCCCAACGGGAAGCACCGCGAGGTCTGCCAAGAGGAGGAGCACTTCCCAGAGAAGACAGCATCAGAACCTTCAAAAAAAAAAAAAAAAAAGATTTCTGTTCTTTAATTTTGCTGAAAAGTAATTTTCATTAAATATAAAAAAAAAATCACTGGGGTGCCTTTGACATTCCCTTCTGTCTCTTGCAACACAGAGCAAAGCCCAGGGAAGAGGGAGAGGAACAAGCTAGCTGTGAAGGCTTTCAGCATGAATTCGGCCACTGTTTCATTACAGCATGATTATGACTTAATTGGCATAGCAGACTTGATGAGACAGCTTGCGTGCCCGAAATATTAATATGAAAGTCCACATCCTGCTTTGGAAGAACAGCAGGGTGAACAGAAGAGGCCTTACCCTGGAGATGGAGGTGAGCAGCACCTTTGCCCCAAGGTGTGGGGTGACACAGACAGCAGAGGAGTCTCTAGGATGCAATTCAAGGGCTGAAAACCCTGCATGTAATCAAACAAGAGCATCTGCAAGGCATCTGGAGCCACAGGAGGTCAGAGGGGCAGGAGGTGGGTGAGCATGGAGGCAAGCCAAGAAAAGATCCTTACTGTGGGCAGTTCCTGAGAGAAATCACAGCTTGTGCTCACACCTCTACACCTTCCCCATTCGGGATGGGAAGAGGCCAGGCAGGGTAAATCACAAGAATTGGCTTTACTCCTGAGGCTTCCCTATCGGCATTTGACAACGAGACAAGGTGGGAGAGGAGGAGAGGAAGGAGAAGCTGGGCACACACCAGCACACCCAACATCAGCCAGGATCTGCACCAACCCCTGCAGTGACGTGGCTGCTGGGGCGAGCCTGGCAGCGAGCCTGGCTGATACCCACGGCAAAGAGGGCATGGCCATGGGGAACAGTGGTTTAAAGAGCACTCAGGTGAGGCAGGTGCTTTCCAGCTGGCTGGAGCTCGCGAGCTGCACAGATTGCAGAGCTGCACCTCAGGGAAGGGAGAAGCAATGGAGCTGAGATGGGGGCAGGCTGCACACACCTCCTGCCTTAGAAAGGGAGGGAGGGGAAGGGGCAAGCAAACTCACCCGCTGAGCAGGGGTTCCTGGAAAACCCCGGAACAACTCATCAGTCCCGAAACAAACAACACGCTGGGCTGCAGCCAGCAGGGATCCCTTGAGGACAACTTGCATCACAGCAACCTAACTTCTTCCAGCAGAGCCACCAGCCTGCAGGCCAGGCAAAAACAAGGGGGCGAGGATCACAGCTTGCTACGTGTCTTGAAGTTTCAAAAGCTGTGGTGTTGGTGAACCCTTAGAGCACCAGCACAAAACTGTGCCAGTAACTCGCTCTGAAAGTTACTAAAGGCTGGATCAAGCAAGAACTCCTGGGGATCTGCTGTGGGTCCGGTTACAGTCCACACTTCCATGATCAGCTCTGGCAACTGTAATAGCGTTTTCTGCAGATGAAAGTTGGGAAGCTAGAGGAGATGCAAGTGTGCACTGGAAGACAAGGAGAACTCCCCGTACTCGCAGTAGATTGGAGAAACAGGCTGGAAAAGAAGAAATAGGATGAAACTCAATAGGAAGCAAAATACCACAGTAGGAGAGCAGCCTGCATGGACGGAGGGTCCAGCCACTCCGGAGAAGAGAGGGTTACGCTGGGTTGCAAGCCAGATGCAGGTTAATTGCTTCATGTCACTGCAGGCAAAGTCATTCACCAAGGCATAGACAAGAGCGTGGCTCTCAAGCACAGCCGTGTTATTTGGGGCTGACAAGGCTTCGGGCTCAGCAGGAACAACACATCCAGGCTCGGCATCGTGCAAGGAGGAAGGCGCAGGCAGACCGCGAGCGCCCAACAGACGGCAGCTGTGGGAGCGCGGAGTGCAGGGCAAGCCTGAGGGAACCATGGTCAGTCAGCTCAGAGAGAAGAAAAATAGTGAGAAGCAAACTGTACCAGGTTTTCAACCCGAACAGCCACACGATCTGAGGTCCCACCTCAGCACTTGGGAACTCTCGTCACGAAGGTGACCAAGCCATGATGCCTCCATCCCTGCCCAGCCTGAAAGACCTCCAGAAACTGGCCGGGGATGCTGCTGCTTTGAGGCAGGGCAGGCTCAGCGGCATCTGAAGAAACCTTCTGGTCTTTCTCCAACAAAGCCCTGCCACGGACCCTCCTCACAGAGAGCCCACTTTGACCAGGAACCTCGCAGAAGGCTAAGCGTGATGCGAGTGCCCATGCCTCCCCCTGCACCTCATGTTTTGGTGAGCCCAGGAGCTGCCTCCAGCCAGCCCAAGCCATGTAACACCTCCCCTCATCCATCTGCCTGTGGATGAGCTGCCCACATTGCATTCACGATGTGCTGAGACATTCAGCTGTCAGCACAGCACGCTGGACGTGCATGGCGGCCACGCAGTTGGGCCTGCTTGGTGAACGCGCCTCCCGCAGCCTGACGGGGCTGCTCGTCTCTGGTACGGGGCTGTCCCACAGAGGTTTTAGTGCTGGGCCTGACGTCTTTCATCAGCTGAAAATGCTGAGAGGCTGGGCAGCACCCCAAAGTTGATCCTTTCCGATGTTTGCAGCCCTAAATAGCGTGTCTGAGAAGGCCCAAGGCATGACACGCCACAGCTCCGCTCCGTGCTCACCCCAAAGCTCTGCGTGCTTCAGCCCTCCCGCTCGCCCCCCGTCTGCACGACGGCTCAGTGCTCCCAGATCAATAATACATGCTCCCTGAAACAGATGCCTCTCTGAATATGCTGAGTCCCCTTCGTCCTCCTGACAGGAAACCCGAGCCTCCGGCCATCAATCTTTCATCCTCCAGACATAATCCTCAAGTTGAAGCAACTCCAAGCGGCCGCTTCCCTTTCAGCGCCGCAGCCCCTCCGGCCAGGGGCACAGCACCCGTGGTTCCCCACGTGGCGGGGAGGCCAACCCCATGGAAATGCACAACTGCCACAGGCACAGGATCGCTGCTGCTGCTGCTACAACGGCTCCTGTTCAGTCCATTCCAGCCTAACTCCATCGTGCACCACCTGCTTGCTCAACCTGCTTGTTACTGAGCGCTTTCACACTGATAGGCTTGGCTGGCTGGCTGAAGCACTAAGAGGATTTTATTTCTCGCCATAAATATATATATATATCCTTGCACGTACTCTTTTATCTGGGAAAAGAAAAAGCTACAGACTTCAGAAGAAAATAGAATGAAAGGGCAAGCCATTCTGAGCAAGAGAGGACACAACGAAAGCTTGTTCCAATTTTCCGTGAGGCTGGGCTCTGCTCCACAGAAGGATTTTGTGCGGATGAGTCCTGGCCATATTGCAAATCCTGTCTGGGGACTTCCTCCAGCCACTTGCTCGGTTCCGTGAAGCCATTCAACTCTCAGCACCTAATTTTCCATGCGTGTCCCTGGGAAGCCATCTTCTCTCCACTCCAGCATCTCCCAGTTTCCGATCATAGCCAGGCCTCCCCCTCCCCACCCTGGGGTCAGCAATACCCATTTGGAAGACACCCACCAGCCAGCGATGCAGCTGCTGAGAGCAAAGCACGCTGCTGCCTCACCCACGGAATCACCTTGCTGGTCCCTGCTCCTCTTCTCTCCCAGTCTCCCAAGAGCAAAGTCACAACTGGGAGCACTGGAGCAGGTATCAGGAGCCTGGTAGTGATCTCATTGCATTTAGAGTCTCCTTACACACACTTTCCAAGGGACTTCCTCTTCTCCACAGCTTTCAGGGGCTTTAATTATTTACACATCCTCAAAATTACAGCTCAGATGGAACGTTTGCAGGGGTGAGAGCTTCCCTCTGCGCTTTCTGAGCCATGGGGGCATTTGCTCCACATTTAGCATACATCTAGGGCATTTGTTTGGCCTTTGCTGCGAGGTGCAGCGAGGCCAGGAGCTGGGGTGTTGCTGGTTGTCACCTGCCTCTCATGCCACCTGCTGTCACCCCAAGCAATGGGGCAGCCTTCAGGCCCCCCCCAGGGCTGTGTGTCCAGGCAGAGGGACCTGCTGGGGACGGGCAGGGGACAGCCCAAAAGCCACACCATCACCATCCCCTGCCAGGAGCGGTGTTGCAGGGTCTGCTCACAGATTCATGCAGGCCGGGAGGGGACACGGCCAGGGAAGGTCCAGCTCTCTGAGCTCAGCGTATTGAGGAAGCAGAGCAGGACAGGAGATACGCCTATGCTCCCCATTTGCTCTCCAGTTTCACAATTACCCCCCCACACACACACACACAGAAGCAGGTGGTGGACACCACATGTGGGTATGGGCAGGTCATCCCCATGCTCCTACAGCCCCACATCTTGTCCCTCCCCAAGAAGAGCAGGACCCAAACTTTATGTTTTTTGCTTGGCGGAACACACGCATTTGCAGTCTCGCACAGAAACTACAAAACTGATTTCTTCTCTTTTCAAATGAAAAAAAAAATCACCCCAAAGTAACTTTTTCTCTCTGGATGGAGGTTAAGAAAGAGCACCCAGAGGCAACCAAAAAAACAGTGGGTAACTTCCCACCCATGCCAAAGCCTTGGTTCAGCACCTCTTTACTACAGCACAACGGCCAGTCCTGGCAGGAAAGGGAGTGCTGTCCCCATCTATCACAGCTCCGGGCAGAAGAGACAGCGAAACTACCCAGTAAATCCTCATAGTAGCTAAAAAGCAGGTTTCCAGCCACAAGAAACCCACAGCAACCCTTGCCAGCTTCCTAATACCCTCAATTATATGCTTTAACTTTCGGTTAGCCCTGAAGCGGTCAGGCAGTCGGAGGGGATAATCTCCGAAGGTCCCTGCCAACTGAGATGCTCTGTTCTATGGCATCGCCCCAGCCGGGCAGTCTCCGTGGCAGCCCAGTTTTCTCACCAGCACCTATGAGAGAGGTGCCACAGATACCTCAAAACCTAGCCTTTAATGCAGAGGCAAGAGGCTGAGTCCTGGCGAGCCCCCCAAACCTGCAGCTCTTCGCCCTCGTGTGCCTGCAATCTCAGCAAGCGCCGCTATCGCCTCCCTCTCCCCAGGACCAAATATTTTTTCCCAAAAAGTCAGCACACGCAAAGCAGTGATGCTCCTCCTGCCCCACGTCCCGTGGCGTGCCTGCTTCTTGTTGCTAGCTGTGCAGGGAAAAGGAGGTCACTCGAGTTTCTGAGGCATTCAGACCCAGCCCTCCTCTGTGCCACTTACACCAAATTCTTGCTTTTGAGCTGCCACTGAAAGCTGGGCTCACAGATGGAGCTGGGTACATTATCCACAACGTCTTCCTCAGGTGCCTGCTGGATACTCTGACGCTGGAGGCACCCAGAATGCAGCATACAAAGCTTTTATTCCTACAGAGCAAGAGCAACTGGAGGCAGACTGGTGGCACCGATGTCAGTCACAAGCTGAGGATAGGAGGAGACCTAACACCCACCTCCGCCTGTTGCTGGGGGTGCCCCACAGCTCCACCTGCCCCCCAAGCTGGCTGGGGTGTGCCACCCTAGTTCCCCTTGGTGGCAGATGCCTTCCTGTAAATGGGAGAGGAAAAGAAAACAAAAAACAGCGATGCATACCCCAAAAAAATCATAACGAGGCCTGTGAAACTGGGAAGAGCCGAAAAATCCCTCCTCCTTGGCAAACAGCAGAGCTCAGACGCTCAGCAGAGGAGAAGAAAGCAGCAGTGGGATTGCTAGTTCTCATCTGAGAGTGAGTCAGCTTGCTGCCAAGGGAAGGAGTTAATTCGACCGCTGTGCCAGGGCAGGGAAGACCAAAAGACACCCAGACCATTTGTGGGGTTCCCCGATGTGCCGACTGCCTCTGACCCAGCTCTGCGTCGCAGGTGCTCGCCCGGCAGCTTCAGGCAGAGAGGAAACTGCTCTGCCTGGAGGACAGGGCACACAGCACAGGCAGTGAGTGGCTTCGGAGAGCCATCGGCCCTTTTGTCCAAGGCAAAGCAAAGGGACAAAGAGGCAGAACGAAGAGGAACGCCGCAGAAAGCGCTGGACGGCCGCCTGCCTCACCACTGCTTGTTTCTGCTGATGTTGATCCCAGAGCAGCGCGTCGGTTCGGTTATCAGGGATGAGCAAAATTGCCTCAGAGACCTGCACATCCAGGAAGACATCAAAGATGCTGCAAGAGTGAGACCACCCAATGCAAGCTGCCCTCTCCAAAATCCCAAATGAGCAGGGAAGTTTTAAGTCCATCCATTTCCTCCCCAAGGAGGGAACACGGTATGGGGGGCACCCACCTGCTCCTGGTAGGGAGCACGAGTCCCTTCCCCTTTCCACCAGAAAGCTGCTGACAGTGCACCTTACACACTACTTACACATCAGTGACCCAAAGCGATAATCCTGGCAGCGTTTTCCAAGCACCGTGCTGCAGGAATGGGATGCGGCCACCTTGCCACCCCCCTGCCAGTTCTCCCTGCGTTGGGCAGGGCTTAAACTAGAGGCAAGGAGTCCGAACCCAAAGGTTGTAAGCTACCAGCACTCCCAGGCGAAGCAGGAGGAACACCTCAGCACCATCCCGAGCTCCTCAGCGGCTGCTCCAAGAGCATCTGAAGGGGAAGGATGCTCCCGACTGTCCTCAGGCAAAGGGAACGTGCACAAGGAGAGACAGAGGTGGTGCTGCGAAGGGACAGCAGCCGTAAATTCACCACGCTTGCAGACAGACGTTTGCCACGAGGAAGGGCACCGCGATGCCCACGCACACCTCCGCCCGTCCTCCTGCCGGGAGCAGCGGTGCTAAGTTCACACCCGACCTGGCACAGCTCGGGCCGGCATCTCTCCCATCTCTGCTGGCATATTGATCCGCTCCCATCAATTATGCAGCACCTCCGGTCCTGATTAATGCTGCCAAGCGAGCCGGCGGGCGGAGAGCAGGGGGGAAACGCCACCAAGACACGCAGCATCACATCCAGAGCCAAGAACCGTCAGCGCTGCCTCTTGGAGCCCCCTCCCCAATTTTTATTTTTTATTTTTTTTTTCCCAGAAATGCGCCTTCTCCATTCGACATCAAAGTTTCAGAGCCACCCCTTTGCCCTGCTTTCCTTCCCTTTGTTCGAACCCGCTCCTCCCGCGCTGGAGTGGGAGGACCGGGGTGCTGGTGGGCACGGCGGGGAGGTGGGATGCTGTCCCCCCGTGCCACCACCCTTCCCTGCACCAGCTGCTTTTGGCTGCCCCATCCCGGTCCCCCCCAAAACCACGGGCAGCACCTTTTGGGGTCACAGCTTTGCAGGGAAGCCAACCCGCCCTACCCACGGCGTTGCCCCAGCGGGAAGGCGGCTTCGTGCCCGAGCCCTGCTGCGTTGCAGCCCCTTCCCCAAGCGGCGGGCAGACAAAAGATGCTCCAAGCCACCGGCACCGGCATCCCGCGGGGAGCCACCGGCACCCAAACGGCTCCGCGATGCTCGGGGCGCGGTCCCCGCGGGTGCGATGCGGTGCGGCGCGGCCCCGGGGGATGGGGTCGGGGGGTCGGGGAGGGGTCGGGGGGTCGGGGAGGGCTCCGCCGGGAAAGCGGCGATCGATCCCCGGGAGCCGTCGGCCCCGTTTACCGTGGATGCCGGTCTGGTGAGCCATGGCTCCGAGCCGCTCCGCTCCGCTCCGCCGCGTCCCGGGCAGGAAACGGCTCCGGCGGCGGCGCCTCCCGCTTCCGGAGCCGGAGCCGGAGCCGGGCGGGGCCGCTGCCTGCACCGCCCCATCGCAACGGGAGGGGGTGGACCCGGGCGGTGCCCCCGCGAGGGGTTGGGGGTGGCAGGGGGGTCGGTGTGGGAAGAGAGACACTCCCAATCCAGCAGCTGCCTCCGCAAAACCAGCATCTCCCCCCAAAATCAGCAGCTCTCCTCCAAAACCAGCAACCCCCCCAGGCCCAGTAGCTCCCTCCAACCAGCAGCTCCCCTCCAAAACCAGCAGCTCCACCCCAAACCCAGCAGCTACCCCCCAAACCCAGCAGCTCCCTCCCCAAGCCAGCAGCTCTCCCCAAAACCAGTAGCCCCCCCAAATCAGCAGCTCCCCTCAAAAACCACCAGCTCCCCCCCAAACCCAGCAGCTCTCTCCCCAAGCCAGCAGCTACCCCCCAAAACCAGTAGCCCCCCCCCAAACCCAGCAGCCCCCCTCCTGAGCCCCAGCTCTGTACACGCCGGCGTGCCCGGCCCCTGAAATGCAGCACACAGGCGCGGAGCTCAGTGACATGGTTTAATGGTGGGCTCGGCAGCGCTAAGCAAAATGTTGGACCAGGTGATCTTAAGAGGCCTTTCCAACCAAAACGATTCTGTGAAATGCCAACTGAAGTGCTTCTGCGGTTCTGTGAAATGCCACAGCCTCCCTCGGCAGGAGCCCCGAGCCGGCGGTGGCAGAACCTGCAAAGCCATCCCCGTTGCTGCTCGTGTGCCATGCCACGCAGGTGGTGTTTGCCACCACGGGTCCTGTAGCGAGGCCAGAAATAGAAACGGGGTTTGCCCACGGTGGCTTCTCGATGTGCTTGCAGGCACCAACTCCTCCCTGCCCGCAGAGCACGCAGGAATCGGGTGCTTGCGTTGTGCTCGCCGAGAGCTGCCCAGGGAGCACGCATCCGGGCTGCGTGGGACTCAGCAACAGCCCTGACTCAGCTGCAGCTTCCAGCAGCTTCCTTCTCCTACACGTGCCTGTGACATCCGTGATCGAAGCGCTGCTGCCACAGCTTGGCAGGCTCACGCTGGTGACTGTATTTGCTGGAGCAACCCCCAGGCGTGGGCCAGGCTGCGCTTCCCTCGAGCTCACTCCGGAGAGGAGAGGGGCTTTGAGGCAGAGCCACCAGCCTGTGCCGGGGTCGCTCACAGCCCCACGGGACCCGAGGACATCGGCACACGGTGGTATGAAAAACAAAGGGCAAAGGGGCACCGCCACTTCCCCAGCCTTCGTTTGGGCCTGTACACACAACCTTGGTGCAGAGGGAAAGTTACCAGCAAGTGCCCAGCGCCACCCACCTGGGAGAGGTCTGACTCAAACACTCAAACACAGATTGCTTTTTTTTTTTTGCTGGTGACTCAGTTTGGACCCTGCAGACAGCTTCTGGTTTTGCCAGCAGAGGCTTTCACTTCCTGCAGCAGCACAGGGCTGGAGAAGGAAGAGACCAGGGATGGGTTTTTGTGCCAAACAGGAACCAGGCTGCTCTCTAGGCCACTTTTGCCGTTCCCTCTCTGGCCTTACCCACCCTGGACGATGTTTTAGGAGGGCTCTGGGGCTGCTTGTTCACACCTCCAGAGCCTTTGTGCGTCCGTTCTAGTAACCTTTAACATGTCCGTGGGCTTTCAGTTCTGTTTCGGTTGTTTTTTGGTGAGCTCTGCAGAACCCATGGGGGCTCTGTGACTGTGCTGGTGGCCCCAGCCCGCTTTCAGACACTATTCTGACAGCCTCTCTGATCGGTTGCGGTGCTGAAACTGGACCTGGGGAGCAAGTAGCATGAGCCCAGGGGGCCGTGTAAGCGATCCAGCACGGCGGAGCTGGGAACCTGAGCCCCGCTCACCCCTGAGATGTGCAGTGGGGACACCGAGCACAGGCAGCAGGGCGGCTGCTGGGGCTGCCTCTCCCTCGCCTTTCTCTGCTCGCCTCAGCGTGAGGCAGGGCAATGGGGGCGGGCATTGGGGCGGGCCGGGAACAAGCAGGGAGGCGCTGCTAAAGCCCGGCCAGGCCTCGGCGGGCCGGGGGCCCCCATGTCGGCCGAGTGGCTGCGGTGGGTGAGGCGGGGCGGCCTCGGGGAGCGGCCGGGGGGCAGCCAGGAGCCGGGGCCGCGCTCCCCGTCCCCGGCCCCCGCTCCGTGCTACCGCCGGCCCAAATTCCTGCGTGGTGGAGGTGGAGGCGAGGAGAGCCCGCGGGGCCGGCGGGCCGTGAGGGGCACCGGGCCCGAGCGGCCCCTGCCCTGGGGTTCGGGATACGCCGAGTGAGTGCGGCTGCTGACGGGGAATGGGGTCCTGGGGGGGGGGTTGGGGGGATTTTAGGGGGCTTCCGGGTGTGTGGGGGGCCCCGCGGGGCGATGTGGGGTCGTGGGGTCGTGTAGGGGCAGCCTGGGCGCTGCCAGGAGCCCCCCGGCCGTGCTGCGGTGAGGGGAAGCCTCGGACTGGGCGGCCCCAAAAGGTTTTGGGGATCCGAAAGGAGGATCCAGGCTGCTGCTGCCTCAGGGAGGAGAGGGGCAGAGGTCAGGGCAGGTTGGTCCCGGGGTGTGTGCACCCACACCCAGCCCATTGCGTGGGTGCAGAGGGACGCAGGCAGTGCCTTGTCCCTGCGCCTTGTTCTCTTCTGTGGCTGGACGCCCGCCACAGTGCTTGTACCTGGCACTCGGTGGCTGAGGCAGCAGCAGATCAGCTCAGGCAGCTCATCCCCTAACCCAGCCAAGCAGCACCCGAGAGCTGTCCCGTGGCTCCTCGCACAGTGCCGTAAAAGCAAAGGGAAAAGCAGAATATCAGAAATCTCTGTTTTTGTCTCATTTATGGGCAGGGAAGCACGTTGTGGTAGGCCCACGGTGTGACGTGGTGGCGTGATGTGCAGAGCGATGAGCTGTGCGAGGAGACAAGATGTTCACCATTACCCACATTAGCAAGGCTGGGACACTGCCAGCAGGCGTGCAGCGCTGTGTCACCAGCACAGCACAGCTGCCTGGGCTGCCAACAAGGGCTGACAGAGGCAGGAGTGCTTCCAAACCACTTCTGCCCCGCTTCATGGTGTCCCTGGCAGAGGCTTTTCTCACTGTGGTAAAGGATGTGATGTTTATGTTGTTACCAGCAAAGAGATCCTTGAGTTTGAAAGGGGAGCAATGAGCTTGGAGCTGGAAGGAAGGAGCAGGGGATCATTGCCACATGCACCTGTTGGACGGGCAGTGCTTCGTGCCTAATCTGGAGTGTTTGAACCTGCAGGGTTATCAATGCTGAGAAGTCAGAGTTCAATGAGGACCAGGCGACGTGCTGCCAGATCTCCATCCGCAGGAGGGAGCTGGGCCTGGAAGAGGACAAGGAGTGGCTGATCCTGTGCTCCACACAGGTACGGCCCATGGTCAGGCTGTGCTGACCCTGCTGCCAGCCCTGCTTTGAATCCAGGGGCCCAGGTATAGAAAATACAGAATGGTAGAATGGTTTGGGTTGGAATGGACCTTTAATGATCATCCAGATCCAACGCCCAGCCACAGGCACAACACCTCGCACCAGCCCAGGCTGCCCAAGGCCCCATCCAGCCTGGCCTTGAGCACTTCCAGGGATGGGACATCCACAGCTTCTCTGGGCAGCCTGTGCCAGTGCCTCACCTCCCTCATGGGAAAGAATTTCTTCTTGGTGTCTAATCTAAACCTACCCTCTTTTAGCTGAAAGATGTTACTCCGTCTCCTCTCGCTATATTCCCTGATAAGGAGCCCCTTCCCAGCTTTCCCATAGGCCCCCTTTAGGTACTGGAAGGACAGTGTAGTTGCCCCATCAGTCCTGCACACCCCCAGGCTGAAACCCTTTCTTGGATGTGTTTAGGGGAGCTGTGACTGGCCAGCAAAGGCACAACTCTGCCCATGTATACCATTTCTATTTCCTTGACCTGTGTCTTGCAGCATTTGTGGTTGTCCTAGCCCCTTACTATGTTCCCTAAGCTTTCCTTTACTTGCACTTGCTCTGCTTCCAAAGGCTGCATGTTAGTCATCATCACTTGGGCACAACAGATGCTCTCACCTTGTAAAGACTGGGAACAGTGCTGCCTTTTCTCCTGTAAATAGAAATTCTCCAAATGCAGAGGAGGAATAGCATGTCAGGGTGTGTAGTGATGCCTCTGGAAGCTCAGAGGTGAGCTGGCAGGTCTGATGGAGCAGCACGTCCATCAGCGTGGTCACTGTATGAGTTTAAGCCGTGCAGGGGATTCACTAGTGGTGGGGAAGGGTGGCTGGGATGGAAGAGCCAGGCAGAACACATCCAGCACATCCTGACTGTGCGCCCACTGTCCATATGGCCTCTCTCCACCTCTCTTCCCCCCATCTTCCCTCTTTTCGTTGCAGTTTTTGACTGGTTACTACTGGGCACTCTTTGATGGCCATGGTGGCCCATCAGCTGCCGTCATCGCCTCCAACTATTTGCATTACTGCATCAAGCAGAAGCTGGAGGAGGTTGCGGGGGCCATCAACGAGGCCCGTCCCCCCATGCATGTGAGCGGCCGCTGCGTTTGCGACAGTGACCCCCAGTTCGTGGAGGAGAAGCACATTCGTGTGGAAGACATGGTGGTGGGAGCCTTGGAGAACGCCTTCCAGGAATGCGTGAGTTCTCCCTTCCTGCTGACAAAGGTGGACAAGTCTATCCCTCCTCCCTGCCCCCTTTGGCTCCCTCCTTCTCAGCTCTCTCCTTAGGAAGTGCCCAGGCACTGGTCACCCGGGTGCTTTAGCTTGCCACGTGGACAAGGCTTGGCTGAGGGTGCCCAAATCAGTTCTGCAGTCTGTCCTTAGCATCTAGTCCAGCAGCAACAGCTTGGCTGCACTGAAGCGATGCTGTCTTTGGCCTTGCTGATTTTCTGCTGACCATTTTCCATCAGTTTTTGCTCTGGGTTTCTGCTAGGAGGCACAAGGCAGCTGCAGAAAACAACACCCCGGTTCACGTCATTCTGAACTCATTTAAACCAACAGGATGAAGTCATTGGCCAGGAGATGGAAGCCACTGGCCAGACAGGAGGCTGCACTGCTCTGGCCGCCCTTTATCTCCAGGGAAAACTGTA